TACCAATTTGAATAGATTCGGATTATAATTACAAATCTCGTCCGCCATATTGGTTCCGCTATCTCGAATTTCCAAATTCCACCCGAATCTCCGAATTTTGACGAAAGAATCATAATCTCCTACCCCGAAAACCACCAGATACCATCTTGAATTTCCTAATTTTGACGAAGGCATCATAATCCCCGATCCCGAAAATCGCTATATACCAATTTTCAATAGAATCGAATCAGAATAATTACAAAACTCGTCCGCCATATTGGATCCGCCATCTTGAATTTCCCAATTTTCACGACTCAAGAAAATGAAAAAGTTCCCTTAAACAAAAGTCGTAGATGGCTTCGTTGCGAAATACAGGGTGTGGAAATATTTATAGATTTTTTTATGTCCACCATGGAAGGAAATCCCTATAATATTCGGAAAATATCGTGCGCACCTAGGAAGGATAGGGAAAGGAGGTAGGTGTTGGAATTTTTTTTCAACTTTCGGAGGATATAAGCTATTGGGAATACTTCCATTGGCAAACAATTCTAAAACTTCGCCGTTCTATTATAGACGAACCAGTTTTGGTAGAGTGTTGTTTGACACTTTTCGAGGTTAATGACAAAGGGATGTGCTGACTGGGCCTGTCGAGTTAGTCTGACTGGTATTGCTAGTGATGAAATTATAGCAGATATTTCTATTGAACATTTCCCGTGGAAGTGTCCATGGAAATGTGAAAGGTCGCCGACTTTTCTTCGGTGCTCTAATGAGGTCAAAGAGTTAGTGAGTGTGGCATAGTGACACAATTACAGAATGATATACATGTATATAATGGTTATAGAGTAATCTGAACATATGTCTTTCTAAAATTGATTTTTCATTATACTAAGATAATTTTTTCGTGAAAAATGAAATAAGTGTATGCACCACGAAAAATCTGTCAAAAACTTAAGAAATCTGAACTCAATTTTAACAGCCTTTTAGGTATCCTGTAGATTTGCCTACAAGCCATGATGTAATGACCTTTTACAAAAATGAGTATTAGATTAAATGTTATAGCTTCACCTATTTAGTAATTACATGTTATTATCAATTATAATCATTTCTGAAGCTTTGATCGTGACTGGTATAGATGGTATAGTTAATTGGAAAAATTATCAACAGATTTTTTAGAAATCTTAATGATATCTATCAGAATCATTGGCGATCACAGGGTGTTTCAACGAATAAATAAAGGAGAGTAGTATTAGAAACTAGAAATTGCATTATTCTTCCTTAGATATAGATTAGACCCAATTCCAATTTTTTTTTTCAAATGTAGAATATATTCTGACAATGTTTCGATGTAGAATATTGAATCTTCCTGTTTTTTTTGAGCCATGTGTTTCGATATTGAAACATCACCCTGTATGTTCAGTTGGTGCGCAAAATAATTTATTCGTGGCTTAGGAAATGTTTTAATCGGATGAAAAAAATTAGGAAGGAAGTTGACATTGAGAAATCTGTGTTAATATTTAAGATCAACACATCTGAAAAATAACCTTGGCAGTTTTTAATAATTATGACGTTGCAGTTATACAAGCAAATGTCGAATATACAAATAGTAGTCATCAATTGTTCATGATCATGATAGACATGAAAGGTAGATAGATATAAAGATAATGAAGGTCTTAATCAATCCAAGTTTTCGACGGTTTTAAAAATATCCTTCTATAATTATTGTTGTTGATTGGTGAGACAATTTATTGGCATGTCGCATTATTGAACACCGCTTAAATTGCATTTAGTAAGATGTTTTATTATGGTTTACAATAATAATGCATTCTTATGCCGACCTTCGATTCTCAATGGCAACAACATCGGTGTAAACATGTCTAAAAAATTGTTGCTAATTTTAACATGCAATTTCCTTCAACATCATGCTCACATGCACCAAAAGGAAAAAATTATCATATGCGTGAGTTGAACATTTTTACTACAGGTTGAGGTAGGTCCAAAAAACTGAAGAAGCAATATGTAAATTCATTCCGAAACTGAACATTATTTTAATAGACGCATAGTTGAAACTATTGTTCAACTCGTTTATATCAGCTTGGTATGTGTGACAATGGTATAATTTTATAGTTTTATTCCTTCATTCTGATCAGGATCTTCAGGGTGAGTGATTTTTTCTCGAATATATAATAGTCGTGAATGATGTTCTGCCACCAAAATTTCAAAATGGTCTTTTACCAGAATTCCAAATGTTCCTTTCCATTCGAATAACTTTTTACAGTTATTATTATATCCAGAAACACGGCGATGCCTTGCGCCGAGTACTCGTATGAATATCCAGAGAAACCTCGCGAACTTATCAAGTACCGATGAAAATAGCATAATTTAATTGTTTTGGTTCCATTATCTTATTTATCTTCAGGATCAGAGATTTTTCTCGAATAAAATGGATACCATTTTTTTATATAGGGAGTATAGGGAAAGGAGGAAGGTGTTGAAATATTTTCGAACTTTCGTAAGTAATAAGTTCTTGGGAATACTTCCATTGGCAAAAATTCCAAAGCTTCGCCGTTCTATAGACGAACGAGTTTCGAATAGAATTTGATAATAATCACAAAACTCGTCTGCTATATTGAATCTGCTATCTTGAATTTCCAAATTTTTATGGAACAATCATAATCTCCCTCCCCGAAAGTTGCCAGATACCAATTTTGAACAGAATCGGATTATAATTGAGAACTCATCCGCCCCTCGTGGATCCGCCATCTTGAATTTCCAAATTTTGACTGAAGAATCATGATCTCCGAGCCCGAAAACCCCCAGTTACCGATTTTGAATAGAATCGGTTCATAATGTTGGATCAGCCATCTTGAATTTTCAATTTAAAAAATAACTCACGACTTATTCTCAGACCTACCAAATATGCACAAAAATCTACCGTTTCGGAGGAGTTTGGCAACAAACACCGCGACACGAGAATTTCATAAAATAGATGACAATGTTGAGTTATTCCTGATGGTATAGAAAGACTGTACAAAATTACAAAAAGGTCCTACTAGGGACCCTCCCTGTATACGCGGTAGATACTCCACTGTTTCGTATTCGTGTTTTCCACGGGACCGTGCAATGTCCAATGCCAACTTCCTTCCGAATCGTGTTTTCTTGTTTCTTCCTGGTGGGACGGTCCGGCAAGGTCACCCGATCTGATATTGTCGGAACTCGGTCTGGTCTGCCTCTAGATTTTTCGTGATTTACATAAACGTTATGGGAATCGACGAAATCCTTGTGTGCGCTCAACTATGACTGCTATGAGAAGCCAACTAGGAAATAGGCATACGCATGAATGCTATTTCAAGTGACAATGTCAAGATATCTGCTGTTTGTGCCATACTTACCATAGAAATAATGGATTTGGCCGAGACCTTTGGTGAAGAAATGGACAAAATTTTAACCGTTGTAGACATTTTACTGTGAATAATTTAGGATTTCATCGTGTCGAAGGCACTTCCTCGTCTCGTCTCCATCAATGCGAGAAAAAAACTCTCGTCTCGGTGTTTTTCTCGACGACAATTTCTCGATCTCGATTCGAGACTTGAAATTTAAAGGCTCGAGACACTCGAAAACAAAAACTGACTGTTATTTAAAAATGCTATGTATAGGTTATAACGTATAACACAAGGCCAAGGTTGCACCAAAATACAGAGTATCAAATTTTTTCAATAAAATAAATAACGTTAATATACAGAAGCTATATGCTATGGTCTAAAAGCCCCATATAACAAAAAACCGCGAGTATCAGCAAAAAATAAAGAATATTGTTCCAAAAAATTAAAATTTAACGAATCTTTGCTGTTTTAATTTAATCTTATCCATACATTTAAAATTTACCTGGGTACGAAAGGTGAAGGTTTAAAATTGTTTTTTCGTTCGTGGAGTGTGTTTCATCTAAGGCGAAGAGAAGAAGCACCAACAACAAACTCAACTTTTATAATCGAAACAGTCGTCTCTTGAAAAAAAAAATGTATCGATATTACGCAAATTAATGATTGATTGATTTTCTTCTTTCTGGCTGGCTTCACATTTATTTCTTCGGGATCGAGAAATCTCGAAATTATTTCTTGATCTCGTTTCGAAAAAAAAAATAGTCTCGTATCGGTCCCCTCTCGAAATCCAGACGAGACGAGAAATTTCGAATTACGATAGTCTTGTGAAATTCTAGTGAATATGAAATTTATTTATGGATGGCAGTTGCGAAGGAAGTTCATAATAGTACTCCACTAGAAACTACTTTAACGCCCGTTCACTTCCTTCTCGAATTTTTCAAGAATGTTTTTGAATGTTTTAAATAATTCACTCAAATATTCAAGAAATATTCTCAAATGTTTCAGGAATTCTCGATTGTTCTAGATTAAGAATGATTTCGAATGTTCTAAAAATCTTCAGGAATGATCTGGATATCATATTTTCAACCAATTGAGGTAAAAACTCCTACCGAACCACAAATATATACAGGGTGATCCCTTGAAATGTACGAGTATATTAAATATAAAATGTGATGTTGATTTTTCAAGAATTTCATGTTGGTAGTTTGAGAGTTATTGCCTTGTCCCATAACAGCTGGGTACACGCTCCATAAGTATGGCACTCCCATTTTCATACAAATCCATTGCTGAAACCCACAATACGGATTATAGTATTAATTAAAGAATAAATAAAGAATCGAAATTATCAATCTCACATTGATTTATTTCAGTTGTAACCTTATCCATCACTTAGTTTAGGTCAATCGTAAGGCGTTCTATCAGCCACCACAAACAATAATCAATAATTGACCTATTAATACCTACATTTATCTATCGATCAGATCCATTGAACATTCTATACAACAATAATGAATTATATTATTCTATTGATGTAGTGGTACATTATTTGCCTAGACAAATAGGCGCATAATTCACACCAGTGGCGTAACAACAAGGAAATATTAAAATTAATAATTTATATCTACATAGTGTTGTGTAACATTGAGAAGATAATCCTACATAGTTTTTCAATTATTGTGTTCATTTAAGGTGTTTGTCAGCATTTCTGCCTAGTTTGTAAAAGGAAACACAGGAACCGAATGTTTTTTCAATTGCAGAGTCCTTTTCTTGAAATTGAAATAAACTTCTAGAGTGAGAACCAATAAACTCAGGATCATTCCAACAGCAAGGAACATGAGAGATGGATAAAAATAATTCAGACCTATATTGAGAGCCACTGATCCAGACTGGATACATTCCGGTTTTTTGGGATGCCAAAACTTCAGTTCCCTGTGAAGGATGCCATGTTCTGCTAAACGTTGCAGACTAAAAATACTATCAATTTTCAAGTACTGATTCTACAATTGTCGAATTGTCAATGCTTACCAAGTATCGAACATATCTCTGAAAGGTGAATGCTTCTGTACATTTGCATGCATAGGTTGTGTTTTGTACATCTGTACTTCCCTTAGTTGGCAAATGGTTTGGTCTGGAAAAGTTTTCTGGATGATTGGGTAGGCTGTAGCCAGCTCTACATGGAAGGCATAACCTCCATTTTTCACCAAAGCCAGACCTTCTTCTGGTGGCAAAAAGTTCGAAGTGTTCTGTCTTCCCAGGACTTTTTTCAAGTACAATTTTCTCGAAGGTTTGTCAATAGTATACTGAAATATAGATTCATTCAATACACGGTGATCGATTCAGAATTCGAAGAAAATGATGAATTAATCTACAATTATTAGAGTCTCATTCTTCCCAGATCCCAGATCCTTACCATGAAATAATCCCTATTGTACAAGATATCTTCACACCCGACTTTCATTTCTGATCCCAGAATATCTTCGATGGTTTTAATTTTTGTATCAGGTTTCATCAGAAGAGTCGACACAAGACTTGCTGAGTAGAACTGATATATTATCAGAGAAAGTATCAGCAGCGAAAATATTACTATCCGTCCTGAATAGGACATCGGCGTATTAGTTATTCCTTGAAATATAAAGAGTCGTGAATTCGTTATACTATTATAGTGCGCGGTAGAATAATACAAGGTGTCCCAAAACAAAGTACCATAAATCAGGAGGGGTGAAAGAACTTACAGTCACAACTCCACCACATAAACAATTTAATAATAACCAACGGTCATGGACATGAGGACATGTTTCGAAGGATTAATCCTTCATCATCAGCAAATTTATAAAAAGAAAATCTGTGAGAAGAAACAACGCTTATGTTAGTTTTTAAGTATTGATTAAAAATGAGGATGTACCTACCATTATTGGTGGAAAAAGATTACTTATTAAAAATACCATAAATTCTACAGGGTGAACTAGAGACCAAAATAGGCCGATTGAAATCATCTTACCACCATACGAAAATGCACCGTATTTCGAAATCCTTGAAAGGCAGTGCTCTGAAGTTCGTAGAGCAATTTACTATAGTGAATCTGTATGAAAAACATGTCGTACCATTTCAATCAATTTACAGTGAGTTAGTTATTTCGCATTCTCTTTGATAAAAATGAATATGTAACTCTTTTATAGTACGGCACTGACCACGTTTTGATATTTCAAATAATTTCAAAATCAATTATCTCGCACTTTTTTATAACTGCAGTTTTTATTATTCTCCTTAGTTTTCGAGATAAATAACAAAATTCATTTTGGTGCTTTTCCATACGACTCGATTATGCTTGTTAGGATTATCATGTTTTACTCGTTTCCACCTCATTTGTGTTAAGTTATTGACCGCAGTAATCATGTTTACCAAGATTTCTGGTAAAAAAAATTATAAAAAAAAAATTGAAGATTACCAACAACATTATCATAATATGCTGAAGTTTATAATAGTTATTTATGTATCAAGAGTGTAGACCATAAACACATTTCACGCACGTGATGCATACAACATTTTATGCACTAGTGATTTATTTCTCGAGTCAAAAGTAATGAATCGATTTCAATTAACAGCATGTTATACAGGGTGTCCGCTAAAAGGAGGTCAATCCATTAACCATATATTCCTTGAACAAAAACAATATGAGTTTCTAAATACCATTTTTCATTTTAGCCCTTCATATTCGATATACAGGCTGTCAAAGTTGGAAATTCTCTAGTTCACCCTCTATAATTTATTTTCCGATTTTCTGGGACACCTTGTTTAATGGATTTGAGGTTTTTTCTGATTTACCTTGTTGACAAAATGCTGCAAACGTGCATATGACGAAATAGCTCCAACTAGTATCAGCCTGGGAATTAACAGTTTTCTTTTCGTGAAATTGCGTCAGTTTTAACAATATAATGACATAGACTATGGCAAAAATGGTGGCTATCCATATGGATGACGAAAGAGGCTTGAAAAATACGTATGTTGTAACAGGTGCTGCTGGGTTTTGAAACACGAAAGCTGCTCTAAAATTAAATAGTTTGAAAAAATACTATTGCTGAGGTGAATAGGTACAGCAAAAATAATCAAATTGGTATACAAGGTGGTCCAACGAAAACTTTACACCCTGATTTTAGGGCTTCAGAATGAAAATCCGGAAAAACGTTTGACCCCTACCAGAAGAAGCACAATCCCCGGATTTTCAATAGGAATGAGGGCTATTGAGATACCTCATTTTGAAGATTGCATCGAGTACTATTCGATCCCATTAACTGAAAAATCTCCTGCATCAAAAAATGCCAATTAGAGCCGAATAGTTGCATGTCCAGAATAGTATCGAAGTTATGATGGGAAAACGATTTTTTTCTTAAAATTTTAACACCATATAGCTCGAAAGCTAAGAGGTTTAGGGCATATGTTCATATGGACTTTTCTGCTCAGAATGAGCTGAAGAATCATATGCTTTATTATCAGCCATCAATTAAATTACACCCTGTATATTATCTCTCATTTCCTTATCGATGAAAATTCTTCAAAATGATGTAACGCAACACCCCTCATTCCTATTTTTTTTTTTTTTTTTTTTTTTTTTTTTTTTTTTTTTTTTTTTTTTTTATCGCTTGGAGCGCACGAAAGGGAATCCCTATAATGTTCAAAGAACATCGTGCGTTCCTAGGGAGGATAGGGACAGGAGGTAGGTATTGGATTTTTTTTTGAACTTTTGGAGATTATATGTTGTTGGGAATACTTCCACAGGCAATGAATTCCAGAGCCTAGCCGTTCTATGGATGAAAATTTAAGGGTCGTGCTTCTCCCTGGTAGGCGGTGGAAGTTACGGGGATGAAGAAAGCAGTCGCGACTGATGGTCCAAACGTTTTTCCGGATTTTCATTCTGAAGCCCTAAAATCGAGGTGTTAAGTTTCCGTTGGACCAACCTGGATAGGGTTGTATGTTATTTAGGAAGATTATTTACTTCAGTGTCCACGTTCTCCTTCCATATTCCATGACCTTAGCTCGGTCTGTTCTTACAAATAAAGGTGAACTACCGTAATCTGCCGATTTTGTATCCAAAGCTGCTACTAAACCGTCCCATGTTCCATTTTTAGTTAAGTAGCCCCAAGATTCCGACAATGTTAGATGCGGGCTGAAATGCGTCAAGAGAATAGAATAGAATAGAATAGAATAGAATAGAATAGAATATTTATTCATCCAATAGACCAATTCACATTGGTATAGGAAAAGTCAACAAAACCATGAAAAAAGCACGATTATACATTCACATGAAGTATCAATAAATGACAATCAAAACTGTACGAAACAAAATAGTATATAAATGACATGAAAATATATGCAAATATATAAATATATACAGAATACATCATCTTATTTATTTATAATGTATTTTTTATGATTGATAAAATCGTCAATGGAATGAAATCCCTGATCACTGAGAAATTGTCTCGTCTTTTGCTTGAGGCTTTTCGGATTTGATAGAGACCTGATATCGATGGGCAGACAGTTGAAAATTTTAGATCCTATGAAAATGGGTGATTTTTCGAAAAGTTTGGTTCTATGCTTCGACATTTTTAATAAATCCCCATTTCTTGTCGGATATCTGTGATGTTGACCATTATTTGATATTGAAGCTTCATTTTTCTTAATGAAGGTAATTAAGCTGTGGATATATATGCAGGGAAGAGTCAGTATTTTGTTGTCCCTGATATAAGGTTTACATGAATCTGTTCTCTTGAGGTTGAATATTAGCCGAATAATTCTTTTTTGTGCAACAAATACTCTACTTAGGTCACTACTGGCACCCCACAGAATTATGTTGTATTTCAGCACTGAATGTACCATAGCATAATACACATTTATCAAGGATTTTTTATCCAAAACACTCTTAATATGGCATAAAAACTTGTATTCAGTCTTTTGCACACGTAGTCGATGTCCAATGATGGACATTCAGATGAATTTTTAATTCATTCATTCATTTATTCATTTATGACCACTAAATAGACAAATTCTGGTAGTAACATGGTCTAGCAAGGTATACAGTCTGAACATCTATAGTAGGTAGGTACTTGTACATTATTTACTCTAAAAAGTTTATAAACCTACCTATACAAAGTATCGATATCTTGATTCAGTTTTGATTTGAATGATTTTGAATCTTGAATAAAGTACTCATCCTGTAAATTATGTACTCACGTGAAATTATAGTAATTGACGCATGGGCGCATCACATTATAATGGAATCTGTTGAAAGTATTTACTTCAGGATTTGCTTCGCTATTCAAATAATCCAGTAGTGTTCCTTCAAAGGGAATGGGTAGCTGGAAATATTGAGACTTATGAATATTATTTACTCATCTCGTAAAAGTCGAAATTTTATCAGTTCAAGAAACGCAGATCTTGACAATTTTGAATATTTCACCCATCACATAATCTGACCAATCACAAGCCAGAGACAACACAACGTGTGCTTATCACGAAAACATGAGCTCTGTCCAATTCTGATTGGTCTGACAGCGTTCATGTTTTCAACGATGTAACCATAAGCAAAGTCTGTCAGTTTGGCATAAAATAATTATGGCTATACTTGTCAGAATGAATCACTCATTTATTAAAAATGTTTTTTATGCCTTATGAAAGTGAAATAGTCTAACAAAATACCACTCTGTTCTGAATATCTTCTCATAATTCTGTCTTTCATTGTTTACTCAATTGTGTTGCCGTACAGCATACCACGTTGCTCGTCAACACAACTTCGTGAACAATGAAGCAACAGAATTATCTCGAATATGCAGAACATTGGGATATTACTTATGACAAATGTAAAAACTTCACAAACGATAAGATTTACACAAAATTCTCAAACACATCAGCTTCGTCAGGTGATATACTGGTACGATTACTTACTTATGACAATTGAATTCTTTCATCTTAAAAAATGAAAATAATAATTTTTCTCTAACTTTTTAATTTTATCCAACTTATTATTCAGAGATTCTTACAACAATGCGGGATTTTAGGGTAACGCCAGACATGTTTCTTCTCATCCAGTATTTACATTGCATTTCTCTGGCTCTGTATCCGTCTTTTGCACTATAGTATCCGATAGTTTTCGTTTGTAATTTTCCGCCTTTCCCATAAGCGGGGTTGTAGACATCTTCCACAGTGAAATTTACAGATGAAAATCCAGCTGATGGGGCGTAAACTATGTGAATATCAGCGTTGATATAGAGTTCCACGTTTTCGAAAATCGTTGAAATACTTTTGTTCGAAGTAAGTATTAACCAGTGGTGTTTAACGTCAAAAAATTTTTCAGTTCCACACTAAAAAAATGCAAATTCAAATATTGTTTATTTCAATTATCTATTCAAGTTTTCTTTATCGCTTGGTGTGCACGAAAGGGAATCCCTATAATGTTTGAAGAACATCGTGCATAGCTGAGGTGGTAAGCCGTATGATGTTAGTTTGTGAAGGAGTCCTCGGTGCCAAACTCGGTCGAATGCTTCCCTATGTTTTTCTAATGATAATTATTTTCAAATGAATAAAAACAAAATAATATGTCAATAGTTTACCCATACATACTTGCTAATTTCTACTTATGTTCAGGTATATATTTTATTAGTTATTATTTACCAGTCTAAGAAAACTACTGATTCTCTCAACATTGCAATCACCATCTAGCACAACTCCCATACGATTATTTTGAGTTTCTAAGAATTTGAGCGATGACAATGTCTCGATATTTAGGACTGAGATTGTGTTTTTTCCCATAACAAACTTCTTCGTGAATTCTTTTTTCTCTGGAAAAATATTTTAAAAACTTCTTGACGAAATGTTCGATTGCTTACCTCGTTTTTTGAAACACCCTATAAGACTAGCATGATTCGTGCTCTTCTCTTGAAAATACGCCCGTATTATGTCGAAACTCATGAAAGCATTAGAACGAATCATAAAAAAAGCAGAAATTATGCAAAATTGCTCGATGAACAAATGCCCTATTTTCATTTTGAATTGCTCGATTAGTGTGACAATATTATGTCGTGATAAAAAAAAATATATATACTGCTGTCCCTTCTTGCTTGACATCGGTCAGTTGACAAGAAAATTGATTCATTAATATCCATAATCCTATGGAATAACTGATGGAGTGTATGTATTGTTTATGTGGTCCACACGGAATTAAGAGACAGCGTGTTCAGTTAACGTTGCCATATGAATTTTCGAAAAAAGAGGTCAAACAGGAATTCGAACATGATTGGGGCTCAAAAATCTATGATGCCATTTTGTGTTTTTGCGGGACTTTATATATAATAATATTATAATAGGTATTATGTTTAGTGCAATGGCATGATAACAGGTTCAAATACCGAAGTATCTACTTTTTCAAGGAATTTTGAGAAATTTTGGAACTTCTGGCAAATTTTACTTGTAGAGAAAGTAAATGGTTATCTGAAGTTTAAATCACTAGGCAACAACCAAATAACTGTTAGGACGTAGGTACTGATCATCTAGACCTATAATATTATACAATATTTACATCAGTTGTCTCAAAAGTACATCATGTTTTTTCTACAATATACATGTATCTTCTATTTTTTCTGTTTTCCATTTCATTAAAAATCTATACCTATAGAATCTACGACATATCGAAATAAACGGACCTATTCAACATATCAGGTTTTTTTTTCATTATCAGTCGTGGTTATACCATTATTAGAATTATCTCAAAATTGGTCAATTTAGCTGTCTTCCCGATGTAGTTTCCTGACGAAGCTTCTCTTTATTCTGAGTGAAACTGTGAATGTTCTTAGTTAGATACCGAAAATGTGGCAAACAATCATATTCATGATGCTCCTGTTAGTATACAAATCATCTTGTAATTTGAATTGCAATATTATTGTTGAATTTAGCAAATCAAAAAATCTGACGCAAGGTACCGTTTTTGGTTGTTCAAAAAACAGAGGTAAGATAAATTAGATATTTTTGCTATCTATGTTTCATAAAACGACTTTTTTTCATCTGCATGGAGTTACTTTTGATGTGTAGGTGAATTTAGTCATGCCAAACGAGACACATCAAATGTTACAATAATTACTATCACTCATATGAAGTATTCATGGTTTTATTTTTAATTAATTTGGGACTTGAATATCTCACCCCATTACTTTTTGTGAGTTGTTGAAAAAATCAACTAATGTTTAATACTACAATTCATCACTTTCAGAAATACTTGTGGTATCAAAATGTTTGTCTAAGAATTTTCTTAGATTTTTCATAGTGAATATCGATGAAGTTCCTGAACTTTTCGAAAGTGCTCTCGAAAGAAAGTTGTCTCATTTCGCCGTTTTGGTCGATGGAGACTGTGAAAATATCGCAGGTTTCCTAAACAAGGTTGGTAAGCTATAAAATAAAACCGTGAAATCTCAATTTCGAAACGACCAACTGAAAACCGATTTTTTCAGCAGATTGACAAAGATTACTTCTACGAAACTTACCATTGGCTGGTCGTCAGTGAATCAGACGACATATTCAACACTCTTCGACCACTCAAACTCAACATCAACTCTGACTTTCACGTTGCCATCGGAAATGGAAAACGGAATTTCACCATTTTCGATGTCTATAATCCAGCTTCTGAACACGGAGGAGAATTGAAAATCAAACAGCTGGGCTTTTATAATGAAATGGAGGGCTATAGGGCCAGATACACGAGTAATAAATATTGGTTGAGAAGGAATATGACCGGAGTCAAATTCAAATCGGCAGTAGTGGTACAAACCTTCTTCAATAATTGATATACAGGGTGCCCTTGATGAGCATGGGCAGATTTGGGAATACCCTGTATGAAAATAGCCGATATCTTTTCAAATTCGATTGAATTCCAGATACCGAACCTTCAGAAACCTCTCTTGGAATATTTGAACAGTGACGATAATCGGCAAATTGATTCAATGCATAGATTCCAGAGCGTCACTGTAGATCATTGCAAGGATATTTATAATTTCAGGTGAATATCTGTCTAGGTTTTCTATGTTGAAATAATCTAAATTTGGTAATTTTCTAATAACATAACTCGAAAATGTTAAGGATTTCTGGGTTGTATATAGTTGCAAGAAATTTAATAAATGAATATACACACCGGTGAAATTAGGGGTACGAACCATATTACACATCAATGTCGCTTGTACACTCGCTCGATTTCGATATTTTTTCTTTAATAATTGTAGCCAAATCTTTCCGAAAATTTTCATTTTGTATTCACTCTGATATCTCAATTATTAAAGAAAATACAGGGCACACCATCAGGTGTCTCGAATATTTTTTAATCGAAAAAGGTACTATTGCTTTATATCGATTGATAATTTTTCTCCAGGAAAATCGAATTACAGATAAAGAACACAAAAGAAGTGCCTTCAACAAAATTTCAAATTACAATTTTAAATATTCTAGAGAGAGGCTGAGAAATTTACATTGATATATGGATTATCAATTTCAAACAAAAAGGTTAATTTTGGACCTACTTGGTATAGTGTGAACACTGGAAACCTTTTGAGAGGGCTTTGTGAGCTTTGACATTGTCAAGAATGAAATACGATCTAAAGTGAATAGTTAAAACTGTTCTCTAAAATTTTGGTGAAGCCTCTTCGGGAAGCTCTACTAGTTAAATAGATTTTCCTGAAGCATAGTTTCGTTGAAAGATTTCAAGCAAGAGTACCTTTTTGATTAAAAAATTTTCGAGGCATCTGACGGTGTACAGCTGTATTTCAAAAAACAGCGTATAAGTATATGACAGAGAAATTAACGTCATCCTATTTGCGTAAAACGCGTAAAACGTTCTCAAAAACACAAAGCATTGTCTGAGCCAGTTTTACATAACTAGAACTAGTATGCATGTAAACATCTCTTTTCAATTCTTGTACGCTTTTCTATTAAATACGACCGTACCCTGAATTTTCAACAAAAAAATGCAAACTCCCGTTAGGTATTATTTTCAACTGATGTAGGTTTATATGAATTCCTGTAGTATTCTAATGGTACACATGTATACATATTAGTCTATCTATGTAAATATTTAGGGTCAGTTTGTTGTATTTGTTGTATTTTAAATTGTTATCTGGAGTTTGAGGATACAGAGAACGAATTCTTGGGGATACATACAGCAAAATGGGCGTTTCGACGGATTGGTTAGTCTTTTGGAAAACAGACTCGTGGATTTTGGAAGTTCACCGTTACTATTCAAGTTAGATAGATTACCTTACGTAGACTACAGTTTTGGGAATTGGATTTTGAAGTAGGTATATGAGATGATATAATCGAAACGAGAACAGTTTCTAGAGAACGTATATTATTTTCAGATCTACATTCATCTTCAGACGACCGAAGGTCGTAGCGAAATCGTATGAGATATTTCTCAGACCGTTAGAGGGATCAGTTTGGATCTGCATTTCAGGAATATTGGTGGCGATTTTGATTTTCTTGCGAATTATATTCTCCCACGAATTACGAATTTTTCGCCAGAAATTCTCCTGTTTCGAATCCTCGTGGAGTTTTCTGATATTGTTTACTCTTGGAGCTTTCTGTCAACAAGGTATACCTACTATTAGATCACAGAACAACACCTTGTGTGTGGGATTTTTTGTTGTTTTCAATTCTTGTTTCAGGTGCAACTTGTTATCCGAATCTTTACAGCAGCAGAATCCTTTCTGTTTTTGTTTTTCTCTTTTGCATACTTGTATACCAATTTTATTCAGCGAGTATCGTCTCCTATTTGCTGATGGATCCACCAAGGACCATATTCAACTTGAACGATTTGATGAAAAGTCATTTGCGTGTCGGTGTCGAAGATATTTTGATTGATAGGAACTATTTTGTGGTAAGCACTCCTAACGTATGTTGGCTTGCCGTCTTTGTTACCACGCTTTTATCAACTTGGTATGCATAATTCATAGTTTTTTTCAACTCACATATCTAAAATGGCATTTAGCGTACGGATATGTACCACGCTTAATGATCGATTAATCACGGATCGATGATCTGTGATTTATTCAAAAAATTAACACGTTGGCTACCATATGAGTCTCATATGATACACACTCTCACTTGCTCTACAGACCACCGTAAAAAATCGCATACTCTCTCTCTGTACCAAGTGAAGAATCAAACTCAAAACGTAGCCTTTCGCTACAAGATGTCGCTATATTGTATTTTGAAGCAGATGCCTCCATCTCGACAGAGTTTGCTGGAAGATCACCGGTGATCCACATGGTACATAAATGAAACCATGTCATCATATATGATTGTAGGAAACTCCTGATATTTTGTCGTTTTCTCTTCGATTATGAGTTCATTCAAACCTTCATAGGAAAATAATGGACAATCAAATCAAATCAAATATGCTTAATTGTCTAAAATGATTACATTTTGTCGACAACGTCAAAATAGAAGTCCACCCAACAATATATATACCTGCTGTAAGAAATAAAATGAATAAAATAAAATAATAATATAAAAGACGTATTTCGAGGAGTACGCAATTTACAAAAATTCAAATATGGCAGCAAAACATACAAAACTGGTTACCATACCTTTTACGCGGAATGCCCCGAGAAACCTTCATACTGTTCGGACTGTTTTCAAAAAAAACATTAGTATTTTATTTGTACAATGATCATTGATAAGATTATTCTTCACTTATGAGTGTAAAAATGTCAATAAAAAAATGACAAGAGAGTCAGCGGTGCGTTTTTTCATCAGAATAATCCAGTCAATTTCTTCAGACATTTTCCAGATCTATGTGTATCACTGGTGATACCCAATTCAACCCGATATTATTTGGTTCATACCTGTACCATACCCACAATCTAATTCCTTCATTTATACACTGGTGCTTCTTTACAAGCATTCAAATAATTATCACTGGTGATACATAAAGTACAGGAGTGAACTATGAAAATGCATCACCGGTGATACATATGGTACCCTGGGTCAGAATGTTGAAATCAGTCTTGATAGTCAACGTGTTAAACACGTTACCATGGCAACAGATTTTTTTGAACACACCTTCAGTCGTTCGAGTCCTGTCCGGCCTTTCAATTGTAGGAACTGTCAACTGTCATTTTCGAATTTTGTTGCAATCAGAGTTATTTAAACAATTTTTTTTTGTATCAAATTTCTTCATGTTTCCGAGAACTTAATTTAAAAATGGGGGCAAAACACAATATTCATGTGAGCAAAATTATGCAATCAGAATATGGTACTATACTCCAGATGAAATCTTGTTCGTGCTTAAAATACTCGTTACTAAATTGACGTTCATAATAACACTTGTTACATAATATACTATTGTTCCATCATCCTGATCACGATCTTCAGGATGGGCAGTTCATTTTTCTCAAATAAAATGGTGAATGATATTCCTTCGCCAAAATGTCAAATTGTTCCGCCACCAAAATTGGAAATATAAGTCGAATAACTTTTTACAATGTTTTTTATATCCAGAGACACCAATAAGTACTCATGTGAAATGCTCGGTTTCAGTGAAAATCGTAGATTTTTTTTAAGCAAACGACCGATCCGGATGCCATCGGTCTGTACGAATCGAAAATCAAAAAGGACTCGAACTCTTCGGGGTTCTATCAGCCCGCCGAAGGCCTGGAAATGGTAAGGAAAGGCGGTTTCGCTTTCCACGTGGAAACCAGCACGGCCTATCCGATCATCGAAGCGACTTATTCGAATCAGGATATCTGTGAACTGGATGAGGTACAGATGTACAGGACGCAACCGATGCATACGAATCTTCAGAAAAATTCACCGTTCAGAGAAATGATGAATTTTTGGTTAGTGAAGAATTCCCTATAAATTATAAGCTATTATTATTTAGTTAGTTCAGAGCGTCCCATAGTATGATCAGATTTTGGGAAGCGACACCAAACGTACTCTTACCCAGCAAACACAGTTACATCACTGATATGTCGCATTCTATGTCGCATAGACGTCGCTGCGATGTTATTTTGTCCACTCAAGTTTCATCTATGCGACGTCGCTGCGATTAGTTCTCTGCAATATAGCAGCGATATATGTTTTTTGCAATGTAATTGCGATATGTCATTTATGGTGGAAACGCGATGTGTTTTTGGGATACAACTACGATGCGAGATGACGTGAAAAAGTTTCCTCAAACATGTTGTGATAATACACCACTGACCTCTGATGACGTCTAATAATATTGATTATGCATTTTTATGACTGGCTATTGGTCTCTTCGGTCTTCTGTCCATTCAATCGTCTTTTCAGCGGCGTTATCCTTAGTACCTATACGCATCTCCATGAGGATGAGATCAATTGATTGTAATTGTATAAAAAATTATGTAGTGTGTGTGGGCGAGATGTATAAGAAAACCAAGAATAGTTTGATAGCAATGTAACGAATGTTTGTGAATTTAGCTTCATTTTGTTGAATAACGTATATTTATATATTCTTTTTCATCGAACAAGAATCTGAATATAAAATTTTTGACGTATTCTCTGAAATACGAAGTTCACATGTCTACATCGCAGCGATGCAACAATCGTGATATCGCAGTGTTGCCTCATCGTGACATCTTAGAGATGTCAAGTCGCAGATGTGTTTGCTTCTCTACTTCGCAGCGATAGAAAATTCGTAATATCGGGCTGTTACCTAAACGCAACATGTTAGAGATGTCATGTCACAGAGATGTGTTGGCTATGGGTACCTACCTCTATTCTTTTCCGAACATAACTAGCTTCTATATATACCTTTCTAGAACATTTCTGATGAACATTTATAGTGCCTATAACAAATATCTGATGGTATGTCTAGAACATTCTATATCATTTCAGAAAATTCCTGAAATTTGTAGAACAGTAGCGGAACCATTTGAGCAAATTCCAACAATTTCGAATAATACTTTTTTCGGCAACGCTTTTTCTTTGAGAAAGTCGCATTTTTCCGTCCTATATGGGAGGTGTATCACATCGTTGTTTTCACTGTAACTATGAAAATCTTGGGAGATATGGTTTTGATAAATGCAGATGATCATTACCATAGCAGCGAAAACGGATAACATCTATTTGACATATCGAATAAGTTGACATTTCGACTTTTGAAAATTTGGTTGCACTTATCTAGCGCTCCAAGAGAAAAAAAATACTATCGAAAGCAGCAGCGATTGTGGAGTTTGAAAATGTCCATACGAAATTTTCAAAGTAGCTGATGCGTTAGTATAGGTACATATACCGGGTGACACAGGGTATCGGGCCACCCCTGTAACTTCTGCATTCGTAAACGGATTTTTCTGAAATTTGGTATAGTTATATGAGCAACCATTTCGGATTTGATCACATTACAATCCAATATGGCGGACTTCCGGTATTTCTGGAAATGCCAGCAACTTTGTTTTTTCAAATGAAACACCCTGTATATTCTTACATATTCAAGTTCAACAGGTCGAAACAAGTGCAATCTTAATTTCAAATGTCATTTTTTCGAAAAAAATTAAATTAAAATTGTTTTTTCATTTTACCTCGTGGATAAATGAGATGTGGTCAAGACTATTCACAATGAGTCACACATAACAGAAGAACATGATTTTTACTGAAAAATTATTTTTTGTGTCACTTATCCAGGAATCAATTCAGCCACATCACTTTTTGATCAAAAATTATTTTTTTTCAAATGGAACCCCTATGGGCCACCTACCCGTTTCTCTAGAACATACATTAAGGAACAAAATGAAATATCATTTTTGTTTTTCGGTGCAGTAACAAATTGGATACATTCAAAAATCAACAACTAGTTTATGAATTTCCTTGCAGTTAGAATAATTCTTCAACTAGGTAGGCTGTGGAATAAATGACATTTGACATCAAGATTGCACTTGTTTTGACCTGTTGAACTTGAATATGTAAAAATATACAGGGTGTTCCATTTGAAAAAACAAAATTGCTGGCATTTCCAGAAAAACCGGAAGTTCGCCATATTGGATTGTAATGTGATCAAATCCGAAATAGTTGCTTATATAACTGTACCGAATTTGATAAAAATCCGTTGACGAATGCAGAAGTTACAGGGGTGGCCCGATAGTCTGTGTCACCCGGTATTTCAGTATTTCATACAAATAAGAAAATTACAATGTTCGAAATTTTATTCTACAAATATAATATGGAAATGTGTCTCTTTGATTTGTTATTCTGATACATAGTTGCCGAAAAAATGTTGTACGCAACACGTCCAAAAACAGTTTTTTTGGACACGCAGACTTCCAGGACTCGCCTATACAGCTCGGCTTAGAATTTTGTCTACTAGTCCAAAAAAAAAAACAGAATTTTCCTGACTTGTTATTTGAATTACTACTATCTCAATCAACGCTTTTATAGAGATAGAAGCAACCAGAAATAAACTTGATGAGTGTTTTATACTAAACTATTAATTATTGCTCACTACATAATCATGTACCTACTGATTGTTTTTTAATATACTTGATTATGTAGATGAAAATGGTTTATTTTCAGTATGTTGAAACTGGTTGAAAATGGAAATATGGAACGTTTGCGAAACCATTGGAACGCCAGAAAACCGACTTGCATAGAGTCAGCAAAAAAACAGGAAATCCACGTCAGTCTTAGCGAATTTTCTTGTTCACCTATAGCTTTGATTTCTGGAATAATAATCTCAATACTATTCTTGATCGTTGAGTTTATAAGTTATTTCAGGAAAGACATTAGGAACTATTTCAAGTTTGGATTCATAAAAAACTCTACAGTATTTCCTTACTTAGAATAATTACTGTTGAGCTTTCCAGGAATACTAACTCACAGAGATCACGAGGCAAATATGGAAAAAAATACGAATCAAACAAATCACAGTTCACATATTTTTTATTTCTAGAAAAAAGTTTGGTATTGTTTTATCTATTGCAATCCACAGGAGTTACCAAATTGAACTTAGTGCTTTCTTCAATCATAAGAGGATTTTTCGAGGCTCCCAGTTCAACTGGATGTAAATTGTATTATAAGGAATATACCGAAAAAGTCAAGGTCTTATTGAATAAAAATTACATGCCTGCTATAAATATTTCCTGATGTGTCACCTAGTATAGAAGCTTTTCACATTATTTATTTGTATTGAAAAATATAGATTATGTATAAACAACACATCCTCTTCATTATCTAGGAAATACTGCTACCATATACCGGGTGTCAACGAATCTATTAGACAAGTCATAACTCCTAGACCATTAGGTGTATCAAAATGAGATATGGAATAGGTAAATGGTATGTGAAGAGGAGAGTTTTCACATATTTTTCACTTTCCGGTCACTTCCGGTTTCGCCGGAAATGGTTCCGGTTCTAAATTTTTAAATGGAACACCCTGTATATTGTAACATTTTTGGATTTTTGAGACAATTCTAGATCAGAATGTGACATTTTCGGAAGTTTTTATTCCTACTTAATTTTTTCGGAGTCACTTTTGAAATTACATCTAGATGGTCATGATTTGAAGTAAACTGATCTAAGGACCTCGGGTGATATCAGAAAATTACAATCGCGAAGTTTTAGTGACAAGTATGATAGATATGAATAAGACAAGTTGGCAAAATTACATTTTCGTGTTTAACTATTATTTTTCTAATGGCGACCATTTTTGACAAGCACTTTCCGAAAAAAGGATATTTTGACGAATCCAACGATACTAATTTATTTGAGTTTGTTGATCCGATCGCAAATAAATTAGTATCGTTTGATTCGTCAAAATATCCTTTTTTCGGGAAGTGCTTACAATTAAATGAATTATCATCCATGGCACACTTGACAAAAATAAATGAATTATTATGAAGTATTTTCGTCAGTAATATTTGATTTATGTTCTTATTTGTAATCCAATCGCAAATAAATTAGTATCGTTATATTCGTCAGAATATCCTTTTTTCGGAAAGTGCTTGTCAAAAGATGGTCGCCATTTGAAAAATAATAGTCAGACACGAAAATGTAATTTTGCCATCTTGTCTTATTCATATCTATCATACTTGTCACTAAAACTTCGCGATTGTAATTTTCTGACATCACCTGAGATCCTTAGATTAGTTTACTTCAAATCATGGCCATCTAGATGTAATTTCAAAAGTGACTCCGAAAAAATAATTGAGTAGGCATAAAAACTTTAGAAAATGTCACATTCTGATCTAGAATTGTCTCAGAAATCCAAAAATGTTACAATATACAGGGTGTTCCATTTAAAAATTTAAAACCGGTGCCATTTCCGGTTAAACCGGAAGTGACCGGAAAGTGAAAAATATGTGAAAACTCTCCTCTTCACATACCATTTACCTATACCAAATATCATTTTGATACACCCAATGGTCTAGAAGTTATGACTTGTCTAATAGATTCGTTGACACCCGGTAGACACTTATTAAATCTCAATAAGTAACTATACCTACTCTTGAAATGTATAGAGAAAACTCTTAAATCTACATAAAATAGAGATAGAAACATTGATATAGAAATAATTTTTAAATACGTCCTACCTTCCTAAGTGCATTACAAGAATATCTTTCAAATGGAATTTTATAAATTAAAAATGGCTGGATTTTCGCTAAAACACAAAAATAACATACCTACACTTCTATATGACTTTCCAGACTGCAAAAACTTTTGTCGTCCTGTATTTGTCAATTCTTAGGAGAACTATGCTCAGAATTATCCACTAAAGTAGCCCAACCATATAATATTTACTTTTCACCCAGAAAAAAACAATGTACGGAAGTTGAATGTTGCCAAGTTGTGATGAAAAGTAGAAACGTTGATTGATATATTACGCTTATAATATATCAATCAACGGTAGAAGACACAGTAGGTTAAACCTATATTTTTTCATATACGGGTGTGCGCTAAAAGGAGGTCAATCCATTAACCATATATTCCTTGAACGAAAACAATATAAGTTTCTAAGTACCATTTTTCATTTTAGCCCTTCATATTCGATACACAGGGTGTCAAACTTGGAAATAAAAAACTGTTTTATTTTAATTACTCGCGTATTTAATGAGATATTTATCTCAAAATTGGTACATTACTGCAGCACGAAGAGTTACATCGTGTGAGGAAAACAAAACAGAGAATAACTGTCAAATATTCAAAATACTGGGGGTCGAGTACACACTTACCCCCATATTTTTTTTGTACGTGCGCTAATGACTTCCTATCTATTTTTCTTCAAGTATTTAATCATTTTTGAGTATTTTTTGTCTCCTGTAAAATTTCGATAAAATCATTTGTTTTTGATAATTCGAAAAGTACTGGTTATTGTTTGATGCCTATGCGGCTTACGGTAATCTCATAATGTTCACATACTCCTTTTTATTGGAAGAGGGCGTAACTTCTTACGTAGGAAAAGGTAAATATGGGAATACCGGTTGCTCAGAGCGAATGTATTAAAATAATTTTTGCACCGAATTTTTTGAGAAATTTTAAAAATCGGTTTGAGTGGTTTTGGTGGCTGCGGAATTGAAAAAATATTTTCGAGAACCCCCCCGTATGGTATGTCGGGCGCGAACGAACGGAAAATAAAATTGGAAAAAATTTAAAGAACATTTTTTCGGAAATTTCAGGTGAAATTATGATATCCATGATTTGAATAGATACTTAATGAAAGAAAAAGCAGATCAGGATTGTCTGGGGATGTATGAACGATTTTGTGTATAAGCCACATATTTTTTAAAGGCAAAGATTTTCTTTAATTAAAATGTGTATTCAAAATATTGGAGGTCATATCGAGCAATTCATTTAGACGTGTTGAATTTCTACAATTTTTTTTTTGTAAAAATTATTTCAATACATTCGCTCTGAGCACCCGGTATTTCCATAATATTTACCTTTTCGTACGTAAAAATTAACGCCCTCTTCCAATTTCGACGAAATAAATAGGAGTATGTGAACATTATGAGATTACCGTAAGCCGCATAGGCATCAAACAATAACCAGTTCTTTTCGAATCATCTTAAAAACATATTATGATTTTATCGAAATTTTACAAGAGACAAGAAATATTCAAAAATGATTGAACACTTGAAGGAAAATGAATTGAAAGTCATTAGCGCACGTACAAAAAAAATATGAGGGTAAGTGTGTACTTGACCCCCAGTATTTGGAATATTTGACAGTTATTTTTTGTTTTGTTTTCCTCACACGATGTTACTCTTTGTGCTATAGTAATGTAGCAATTTTGAGATTAATATCTTATTGAATACGCGAGTAATAAGAAAAAAACAGTTTTTAATTTCCAAGTTTGACACCCTGTATATCGAATATAAAGGGCTGAAATAAAAAATGGTATTCATAAACTGATATTGTTTGTGTTCATGGAATATATGGTTAATGGATTGACCTCCTTTTAGCGGACACCCTGTATAATCACCAATTTTAAAATTCATGAAGTGAAATTGAAATATGTATGAATATTATTTCCCAAAAACAGAAAGAATACCTAACTAGGCAAAGGACAAAAATCTAGTCATTTTCTGTATGCATTTCCTCGTCATCTGAAACACTGTCGTCGCTGTGTCAAGTGGTGGTCTGTTTGTTTTTTTGCTTGTAAGCGATCACATAACGTTGGACGACATAATGGGGTGGGCTGTAGCCCTCTGGATATGTCTTGTCTTCGAAAAGAAGTTCATATTCGTCTGTGTGTGTGGCAGGCGGTTTGTTAACGATGGCCTTGTAAAAACATGTAGTTTGAGGAAAAAGAGCCATCACTGAAATATATAGAAAAAAAAAATGAAAACGAGGTACAGTTGTGCTCATAATACACTCAGTTCCAAAAAAAGTGACGCACTTGATATTTGACCTCTTATTAATAAAAATTAAAAAATAGGCCGATTTTTTTTTCATTTGTTGGTAAGTAATGCATTTGTCTTCAAAAAAAATAAAGAGGTGAACATTTTTTCAAAGCCTCCTTGATGGTGGTGGAATAACTCGAACCATGATTTATTCTTAATTTTTGACTCACCCTGTGTGTTAATTGAGTAATGGCATAGAAAGTGCTTGCGCCCTATACGAAAGAGGCTCCTTTTGCGAGCAATTTGGTTTTTTTATTAATTGATTTATCTCTAAAATTTACCATAACGGACCCACCATTAAAACTTTCGCATTCTGTTATTAAATTTTGATTAAACCGTTCACCAGTTCTTCTCCACACTATTTTTCTTCCATCCACCATGTTAAGCCAAAACCTTGACTCATCCGTAAACAAGACATTCGACCATTCAGGAATATTCCACTGTCCATAATTTTCAACAAAATTTCTTCTATCAGCACGATGTTCGGGCAATAATTTGGGACCTTTTGCAGGTCTCCTAGCTTTTAAATTAACTTCTTTTAGACGTCTCCATACCGTCTGCTTACTTACTGCAACATCACGAATTTGGCGAAGACCTTGCTGAAGATTTACCGCAGTATTTGATCGATTCCGTAAAATTCGCAATCTCAAGAAGCGATCATCTCTTGGGGAAGTTTTTTGGGGGCGACCAGAACCGACCCTCCGAGCGGTGCTTCCTGTTTGTTCGTACTTGCGGATTGCTCTACGAGCAGTTGCTTCATGAACTCCCACTGCACGAGCGGCGTAACGTTTACTACGCCCATCGTTTACTAACGCAACTAATCTTGCCACTTGTTCAGGATTTATTTGAGGCATTTTATGTAATTTTAGTCAATAAAACAAGACACTTAATTAATGACACAACAACAAATGGTCAAATATGGAGGCATCCAACAACGGCATTTGTTTTTTTTTAAGACAATGTGATCCTACCAGAGTACAACCCAATCAATTTTGAGTACTCTGATCATTCAATAAATTTAATTTGGGGGATAAGCCTAAGGTATCAGCAAAAAAGCTGTAATTCGGAAAATTTCAGAGATAAATCAATGAATAAATAAACAACATGCTCACAAAAGAAGCCTCTTTCGTATAGGGTGTAAGCACTTTGAATACCATTACTCAATACACAGGGTGAGTCAAAAATTGAGAATCAATCATGATTCGAGTTATTCCACCACCATCAAGGAGACTTTGAGAAAATTTTCACCTCTTTATTGTTTTTTTAAAGACAAATTCATTACCTGCCAACAAATAAAAAAGGAAAAGGAATCAGTCTATTTTTTTTTAAAGAAGATAGGTCAAATATCAAGTGCATCACTTTTTTTCCATACTCTGACGTCAGCAATGGTGGGTTATTCATGGAGAGGGATCATTAAGTCTTGATTTCTTTTGTTTTTGTTTATGCCTGACTTGAATCATTTTCTTGGATTTTCACCAGTTGTTTTACTTATATTAGAGCATCTGTTACTACTGAAAATTTTTTAGAGAACATATTCCTGTTCTTGAAAAATAAATCTGTTTTTAATTGAAACTAGAGTGGAATTAAAAGAATTTTTCATACACATATTCTGGAAAATTATTTTGACTTGCCTAGAGTGCCCTGTGGAAACAAAGCTTGTGGATCAGTTTCAGGGTTGGCTCTCATCAATGGTAATGGTATCACTCTTCTTCTACTCAGAACATGACGACCCTTCTGATTTTGCTCCTTGAGAATGTCATCTATCTCATATTTACCAGTAGTGGGGTTGTAACTGACAACCTCAGCTAAAATACAATTGTCACCATCTTCAGAGTCTTTCACTAGAGCAGCTACCATGTCTCCCACCTAAGAATATAAATATCATTCATCAAATAAAACATTTATTGTAGGAAAAAAATACCCTAGAAATGAAGTTTGGGTCAGCTGGTACAGCTCCACATAATGGTGGGGGCTTTTCACCAATTTTTCCAACATACAAAGGTAAAGTTTGTGCAGAACTGGTCAACATTTTGATCCATATCCCTTTTCTGATTGACTCTTTGTTGGAGGCAATCTTGGACTGAAATATAATGGTATGAAAAGGTATTGACATTATTTAGGAGCTTTAGAAAATTACCTGAATCCTTCTCTCATTTTTTATATTACGAATTTCTGTAATCTTCTGGAGAGCCTTGCGAATCACCTCCTCTTCTTGCTCAGTTTGAGCAATAGCCATTTTATATAGGGACTTCATTTTCTGAAAGACATAACTTGAACTGTTAGTTATTTTTTCCTAAATTGAGGTTTGAGGATTTTATTTTACCTGAGAACTTTGGCCTGATTGGTCATCCTGAGAATACCTTTGTAAAGTCAGGATTCCCTGTTCAGATTGTTGACGTTTCTTTTCAATTTCATGTACAAGTTGCTGTAGAGCTTTCAGGCGCTCCTGTACCTGTTGGGCAGCTACTGCATCAGCAGTTAGTGGCATTGTTGCAAGAAATGTTTGTGCCAAAAATGATGGTCTATTCTTAAAGCACAATACCAAGAAGATAAAGCCAGGGATAACAGTATCTATTGAAGTAGAGACAGTATATGGATGAGTTTTGTGGAAAAGATTCTGTATTTGTTTTTCTTACCAAATTGCAGACAATTTTTGGTGAAACTTTTAGATCAATAAGATTGAAAAACATTTAATTTTCAGAGTTCAGAAACCTACTATTCTTTGTTAATTATATTAATTAATCAAAACGAATTTATCAACAAAGCTAGTGGCAGTACTGGCCTGGCAGTACTGGCAAACTAGTAGTAGAGATAAGAGCCATAAAGCAAGCAGAGCAACTCATAAGAAGAATGTGACAAAGTTCTGTAGTTGGCTGTGTGTCCTATGACAAGAGGCCACAAAGTGAATAATAAGAAGAATGTGAGTGGGTCGGTGTAGTTTGGGTGTAGTTCCGATGTTGTACTTCATTTGCACCATCTTGCACTAGTTCGCTGTCACGTCTGTGTACTGATGTGATTTCGTATGGATTTCGTACGTGATTTAAAACTGACTTGAAAGTTGAAAGGTTGTGAGTGACATTTCACATTTCGAGTTTTTGTTAAAAGTAAAATAAAAAACACTTTCATTCTTTGTAGGCTTTGTTCGAAAATTTTTCATAATCATGTCTGCGAATAGAGAAGAAATTCTAGCGGATTTTCAAGTATGTAAACCACCATCTAATATCACACTTATGTTCACAAATCTCTGGTCCAAGATTATTCATAATTATTTGTTTGTAATGATTATAGGCATGCACTGGAATAGAAGATTTAGCAGAAGCAATTTTCCATCTAGATGAGACCAACTGGGATTTGCTGGTAAATTTTTTATCAGGGTTGATCAATACATTACTATAAAACTCTTTCATTGCCCACAGCAAGCTGTCAATAGAGTGATGCCTCCTGACACCCAGAGTTTTCAACCAAGAGTTGATCCTGATGTGATGATTGTTGAAGATGATGCTGATATCCCAGTTGTAGAAGCTGCCACAGATATGATGGAAGTGAGGAATAATATTGGACATTCATCTCCAACAAAGAGAACACATGATAATAGTGTGCCCTCTACATCTGCTGGAAATGGCAGTATAAAAACATTGAACTTCAATGTACAGTACTGTGATAGGATTATAAAGGTTGAGTTGCCAGAGACTGCAACAGTTAGTAAGTGAAAATGGTCTCAGTCTCATTGTCAGTGTGTAAATGTTATTTCTTAATTTCAGATGATCTGAAATTGAGGCTACAAAGAGAAATCAAGGTAGCCCCTTGCCGACAGGTGCTCTCAAATTGGGCTAGATTAAATCAATATGAAAATACTCCTTTCTCGAAATTAATGATACCAGATGACAATTCACTTGCTTTGACCATTAAACAGAATGAAGGTGGATTCTCAGCAGATGAGGAGTGAGTCTTTAATCTTATCTTGTATTGCTCATATTTTGCCAATAGTTATCTGTGTAAAAGTGTTTAACATTATATTATTGTGTTTACAGTACTGGAGTAACAGAAAAACTTCATGGTCAATATATGCTCAATGTCAAATGTGAAAATAAAACATATAATCTGAAGTATCAAGGAAACAAAACTATTCTTGAAGTGAAGGGAGATGTGTATACATTGACAAACATCTATGTACGCAATCAAATTTGGAGTGGTTGGCCTCCTAATATAGATGATAACACCATGCTGGCTCTATCTGGAATAAAGTAATTTTATGTTGATTTCATTAATTGAAAGTATCACCATTTATATCATTTGGTGGAGGACTCAGATCAACAAATTTGTGATCTGAGGTGGAGGATACTACTACTACTATTACTATTACTACTACTATTACTACTACTATTACTACTACTACTATTACTACTACTATTACTACTACTACTATTACTACTACTACTACTACTTGTTTATGAATTTTTAATTAATTTAATCCATGACATCCATGATGATTCTCATTTTGGAAGATGCATCTAATTTGTATATTTTCCTCTTCTTCCACCCATCATGAATGCACAAACACCAAGCAAGGGAATTTCCCATTTTAAATTTTTTATGTTATTTCCTACTTATATGGCAAATTTATAAACTGAAGTAAACTATAAAATCATGAAAGAATTTGAAATTAAGAGGTATGGTGGTGTTTATGAACTTCAATTGAAATTGAAGACATTCAAGGCAGAACATTTATCATTGTTGATTATTTTTCAATAAATAAATGAATCATTCTTAATTAGTTGAGTTTACAAATTCACCATAACAAGCTTAAGAATTAGGCAGCCAGACAAATCAATCTCTTTCTGAATTCAAGAAAAAAATGAATAGTTTTCATGATTTTCATTTTTCTCTTTTGATACCACCAAAGAGTAGTTAGAAAAAACTTAGTATTACCTACATGCTCAGTCAGTTTGATTTTGTAGTCTTTGGAAGTACAAAGGACCCCGCACTTTCCTTATGGAAAATGGCCTTCGGGTAAATTTCCTGAATTTTTTGTATGATGTAGATTTTGACTACCTAAGCAAAAGTGTCCATGGGCACAAATAAATCGGCTGACTAGTTTTCGAGATACAGGGTGTCAAAGATGAAAAATGAAGCTTCCTGCTCAGAAGTTTCAACAACTTTGAGAATTTACAAAACGGCCATTTATTCATGGAATAATATTCTTGATTGATGATACAATGTCAACTTGATCTCATTATAATTTTACGTTTTGGGCTCTACAACAGGGTGAACAAAGAAAAATCCAATTCGATTAATTTTGAACCAATCAGGGTAAGTTCTTTCATGAGAATTAAAGATCCAATTGAAGCCTTAACGAACTTTCTCAATCTCGATCGAAGTTTACTGACATTTTTTTTATATACAGGGTGGTTTGAAAATAGGGGTACGTCAATCCCTAGTTTTTTGGATTGGAAAGGGGATAGCATGTCATATATATATCAAACATTCTTCAATGTTGAGAACGTCGCAAACTCATTCCATATATATATAGGGTCAGTAAAAAGATAGAGTCCGAGTTTCTTGAAAAAGTGCGGTTTTTTTCAATGAATACCCTGTATTTCGAAAAAGAATCGGTTAATTTTCTTGAATTTTTGATATAATGTACGATTTTAGGAGTCCGAGATATTGTCATCAATATCAGCATATGTCTCCGGACTCGTTTGTCGGCTATACATATACTTTTGGATGTACGGATTTTATTGATACCCGATATACTCCATTGGACTCCGAGATGGGCTATTTTCCAACAATTATTCATGATGAAAAATATTCCGGCCAGATTAGTGCGGTACCTATTCCAAAAATGCAATACCTTAGATACAGGGTGAATGAAATGTTTCCCATTTGAAAGCCCTGTTTCCGAAGAAACTAGAGAAAATTGAAATGTATCGGAAGGAATAACCCTCTCAAGGTTGGAACTAATTCTACAGTATTTGAAAGCTATTTCAATTCAGATAAAGGAATATTTTATATGATTTCTGTGAAATGTGCGGTTTCTACAAAATTGGGATATTGAGTACTCAATAAACAAATGAATGGTGAAGGTATTATACCTCCCAAAATTCAAGTCTGAAAATAAATTATGTTTTGTGGTCATTTCTTCTTTGAATTGAAATAGCTTTCAAATACTGTAGAATTAGTTCCAACCTTGAGAGGGTTATTCCTTCTGATACATTTCAATTTTCTCTAGTTTCTTCGGAAACAGGGCTTTCAAATGGGAAACATTTCATTCACCCTGTATCTAAGGTATTGCATTTTTGGAATAGGTACCGCACTAATCTGGCCGGAATATTTTTCAAAACGAATTGTTGTTAACGAGTCCGGAGACCTATGCTAATATTGATGACAATATCTCGGACTCCTCAAATCGTACATTATATCAAAAATTCAAGAAAATTAACCGATTCTTTTTTGAAATACAGAGTATTCATTGAAAAAAACCGCATTTTTTCAAGAAACTTGGACTGTATCTGTTTACTCACCCTATATATATGGAATGAGTATGTGACGTTCTCAACATTGAAGAATGTCTGATATATATATTGCATGCTCTCCCCTTTCCGATTCAAAAAACTTGGGATTGACGTACCCCTATTTTCGAACCACCCTGTATATAAAAAAAATCAGTAAACTTCGATCGAGATTGAGAAAGTTCGTTCAGGCTTCAATTGGATCTTTAATTCTCATGAAAGAACTTACCCTGATTGGTTCAAAATTAATCGAATTAGATTTTTCTTTGTTCACCCTGTTGTAGAGCCCAAAACGTAAAATTATAATGGACAGGAGATCCAGATGACATTGTACCATCAATCAGGCATGTTATTCCATGAATAAATGGCCGATTTGTCAATTCTCGAAATTGTTAAAAATTCTGAGCAGAAAGCTACACTTCTCATCTTTGACACCCTGTATCTCAAAAACTAGTCAGCCGATTTCTTTGTGCCCATCGACACTTTTGCTTAGGGAGTCAAAATCTACACCATACCAAAAATTCAGGGAATTTAACCAAAAGCCATTTTCCATAAGGAAAGTGCGGGGTCCTTTACATGTATCAATGCCTATTGCATTTATTTGTGTCAAGCTAGTGATAATTCCTGATTTTTGCTTTTTTTCAGTTATCCTGAACATGATTTAACTGTCCGTCGAAACACTCAATCCAATCACAGCAGGGAGAAGCGAGGCATGCCGATCGTTCAGATAGATAGTGATGATGATGAATTTGAAGATGCCTCTGAAAGTTTTGTGGTAGATGATGAATATTTCGAAAATGAAATTAGTCCAGCAAAAAGAACAGAACCATTAAGTGAGCAATCATTTATAGATCAATAATATAGAATATTTTCAAAAAAAAAATACATCATACAAATTCCTATGTTATATTTGTATCAGTGCAGATTTGTATGAAAAAATTCTCAAAGGTGTTGAGATCAAGCTCCTTGACGATTTAATGTTTTATATTATTGAATTTTCCATTATTTCAGTACCAGATAATGTTGAAGATGAAATAGTTGGTACTATAACTTTCTCTGAAAATTTCACAGCCAGATATGGCCCAGTCCATCCAGTTTTCTATCAAGGGACCTTAGATGATGCAATCAAGGAAGCTTGCTCAAAACCAGCTAAAGATGTAAGTGTATTCCATTTTTTCCTATAAATGATACAGTGTCCTCATATTACTGCAAATAAATTATACTTCACTGTCTAGGAGTCTAGTGGAAGTATGTTCTTCAAGTAAAGAGAAAGGTATCTCATCACAATCCTTTAATTATTCAGTGTATTCCATTAATCCTTTAGGTGTTCTTTTAATCACTGTTTTGAAAATCATAATGGTGTGAGAGAGAGAGGGATGGAGAGTGAGAAAAAGAGAGAGTGATGAATATTGATTGATTGATTGTCTTTATTACCCCAAGAAACATTTCTGTTTATGATAGGGATACATAAATACATATAAAAAAATAATAATAAAGGGTTAACTATAATGAATTCCACTCAGTGGAAACGAATTAATATTGTGTCTTATAAGATTAAAGTTATATTTCATTCCTAAGTAATCAAATCATGCCACATATTTTGTCCTGAGCAAGTATTTTTTAAGATTGATTTTAAACCTTCTTGCATCATGTATATTTTTTAACTCATTCGGTAATGAATTGTATAAAATTATTCCATTGTGAAAAACAGATTGTTAGCCAATGTTTGACTTGAATGTATTTGCTATCAAGTAATTAAATTGTCTAGTCCCATAATTATGGACTGTATTGACTTCATTGAAAGCTAAATTTGATATTTTCAACTTATTCCTGGCAAAATGAATAAAGCAACATATTTTAAGTTTATATAAGGAAATCAGGTTCAGAAAATGTCTTGGTTTGTATAAATTTATCGTTAGTTCTATAAAATGTAGATGAAAAATGCACTTAATTGATTTGTTTTGTAATTTCATTAGTGGTTTCAAACGTGAAATATTTGTACTCCCCCAAATAGAAATTAAATATTGCAAATTTGAATAAATGAGGCAAAAGTAAATACATTTCAAGTATTTTATGGGAATAATATTTCGGATTTTGAATAAAATGCCTATTATCGGATTTATTTTATTTCTCAAATAGTCTATATGTTTAGTCCATAATAATTTTTCGTCGATATAGAGACCTAAAAATTTTGTCACGTCTGTATATTTAATTAATCTATTGTTGGAAGTTATAGCATTATTCGAAATATTAACTGTTCTTTCGGAAATATACATATATGAAGATTTGTTATAATTAAGAGTCAACTTATGAATTTGCATCCAAGATGATATGTTTTCCAAATCACTTGTAATATCCCGTTCGATATCATTTAATTCTTTGGATATATAAATCAATGTTGTATCATCCGCAAATAATTTTAGCTTTCCTTTCAATTTCAGAGTTGATATTGAAATAATATAAATTAAAAATAAAATTGGTCCCAGAACTGATCCTTGCGGTACTCCACATGTAATATTCTTTAGTGAGCCAGAAAGATCATTCACTTCAACATACTGCTTTCTATTTGTCAAATAATGTGTGAACCAATCATGAATTCTTCCTCTGACGCCGATTGAATATAATCTATTTAGTAAAATTGTATGATCTACAGTGTCAAATGCCTTACATAGGTCCAAGGACAAGAAGCCACATTTATAATTTTCATCAATCCGTGACTGGATATCCGAAATTACATCCATTATATATATAGAGTGTCCCAGATACAAAGTCTTCCAGACAGAGACTGTGCCAGAGAGGAAGTGTACCAGAGAGAGAGATAGACTGCATATTATATTATAATAACTCTTTATTAGCATGAAAAATTGTTCTTTACAGGAATAAAAAAATTGACACAATAACACAAGTTTCACAAATAACAAAAGTCCTTCAAAAGACAGAAGCAGGTACTAAAGGGTCTTTCAACAAGGACCGGTCGATGATTTTATATGGCCCATTTATGCCATTATTTATGGAATATGACATCGTTCAAATGTCCGCTTGCGGCTTATTAACATAGACCTGCGACTTCAGGAAACCCCACAAGAAAAAGTCTAGTGGAGTCAAATCGCATGATCTTGGCGGCCAATTCACATCACCTCTGCGAGAGATAACCCTAACCTCAAACCGTTCGTGCAGAATGTCCATTGTATCGTTGGCTGTGTGGCACGTTGCGCCGTCTTGTTGGAACCACATGTCGTCCACGTCCATATCGTTCAATTCAGGCCAAAAGAAATTGTTAATCATTGATCTGTAGCGCTCGCCATTGACGGTGATGGCCTCGCCAATGTCCATTTCAAAGAAGTACGGACCAATGACGCCGCCGGACCAAAATCCACACCAAACAGTAACTCTTTGTGGATGCATTGCCACCTGGTGAACCTCCTGTGGGTTGTGTTCATCCCATATACGGCAATTTTGCTTATTAACAAAACCATTCATCCAAAAATGGGCCTCGTCGCTAAAGATTATTTTTCGGCCAAAATCGGGGTCGTCTTCCAAACGTTCCGAAGCCCACTGAGCGAACGAACGGCGTTGCCTATGGTCGTTAACTTTGAGCTGCTGGGTCAGTTGGATTTTGTACGGGTGCAGGCCCAAGTCCCGGCGCAAAATTCTCCAAGTTGAAGTCTGCGAAAGGCCTAGTTTTTGTGCACGGCGAGAAATCGACTGCCTCGGAGTCTCCTGCACACTCTGACGAACAGCGTCGATATTATCGGCCGATCTGGCGTTCCTTTGACGTAAGGGTGTTGATTGGTTGTTTACCTAACCGGTTGTCTCGAATTTGGCTACCAAACTTTGGAGAGTCGACTTTGAAGGGCCACCGCGTCTGCCGTAAAATGGGCGCAAACGTTTTCACTAACGAACACTCATTTTGATAATAAAGTTTAATCATTTGGACATGCTGCTCTATCGTGTAACTTGCCATGGTAATTTGGCATCAGTGACTGAATTCGCGAAAATCACGAACCAATAGATGGCTCTATTATATGTCAAATCAACGTCAAATTTCCAACTGAGTATGAACAACAAATACATTGCCGTATGCAGTCATTGCAAATTGGTTATTTCCAAATCATTTTGCAAAATAGTGAATAATAAGTTGACTTCTTGAAATACGTACAAGGTTTCCAGTATGGAAAAAATTACTTTTTGTGCAGAGAAATTGCCATTTTGATGTGGACAATGGTGGTATTCATCATTGATATCACACTACAATCAGTACAATCCCACAGTTTTCAAACCTATGGAATAATCGGAATGGTCCACTCAACACTTGCATGGACTGGAATGGAACCATACAAACAATCAGCTATTACAACAATATGGTATAGGTATGAAGAAATAATTGAATTCATCAAGTAATATCACTGGCTTTTATGAAGGAGATGGAATTCTAGTGAAGGGGTTGGGAAAGAAGATATGGTTGGAGAGGCTGCTCAGAATGAACAATATCATCGATTTACATAAACAAGGATCTCCAGCAATCGAGGACTTGAAGTTATTCTCAAGATCGAATCATTGCAACCAACATTTATACAATGATTCTAATTGTGCTTCAGAAAATGTATATTATATAATATATTATTATAAGGTAGGTACTGGTTTCTTCATTGTAAACAATAAAAGTTCATGCAATAATTCGAGTTTTTCCATCAGGGAGAAATGAGGTTCTGGAATATGCACTTCAACAAATAAAACACATATTTATGAAATTCAAAACAATGGTCGCCATATTTGTTGTTTATACTCGCAAGACTTGTACAGCTAGCCACCAGAGGCCGCACACTTTGTGATTTTCGCGAATAGAATACAACAGATTTGACAGATTCCCCCAAAAAAACATGGCCGCCACACACTGTCAACATCGACCGGTCCTTGTTGAAAGACCCTTTATATTCGCGAAAATCACGAAGTGTGCGGCCTCTGGTGGCTAACTTTACAAGTCTCGCGAGTATGAACAACAAATATGGCGACCATTGTTTTGAGTTTCTGTGTTTTATTTGAAAATAATTTATTTGTTGAAGTGCATATTCCAGAACATCATTTTCCTTGATGAAAAAACTGGAATTATTGCATGAACTTTTATTGTTTACAATGAAGAAGCCAGTACCTACCTTATAATAATATAATATACATTTTCTGAAGCACAGTTGGAATCCTTGTATAAATGTTGGTTACAATGATTTGATCTTGAGAATTACTCCAAGTCTTCAATTGCTGGAGATCCTTGTTTATGTAAATCGATGATATTGTTCATTCTGAGCAGCCTTTCCAACCATATCTTCTTTTCCCAGCCCCTTCACTAGAATTCCATCTCCATCATGAAAGCCAGTGATATTTCTTGATGAATTCAATTATTTCTTCATACCTATACCATATTGTTGTGATAGCTGATTGCTTTTATTGTCCATTCCAGTCCATGCAAGTGTTGAGTGGACCATTCCGATCATTCCATAGGTTTGAAAACTGTGGGATTGTACTGATTGTAGTGTGATATCAATGATGAATACCACATTGTCCACATCAAAATGGCAATTTCTCTGCACAAAAAGTAATTTTTTCCATACTGGAAACCTTGTACGTATTTCAAGAAGTCAACTTATTATTCACTATTTTGCAAAATGATTTGGAAATAACCAATTTGCAATGAGAGCATACGGCAATTTTTTTGTTGTTCATACTCAGTTTGAAATTTGACGTTGATTTGACGTTAAATAGGGCCATCTATTGGTTCGTGATTTTCGCGAATAGTAGGTACCAGGTACTACATATTGAAAGCTACTAGGTACAATATTAAAATCTACTAGATACAACATATTGAACTCTATTACAATAAAACACCATCTTATACTATCAAAACTGATTGAATACATAGTCTCTGCAGGAAGATGTTCAAAGTCATGAGGTTTTTTGTTTCAGGAGGTAATATTGAAAAGGATTAAACCCTTGTTTACTGTGTCACAGGGCATTTTATTTATTTATTTATTTATTTCAGTTATTGCATTACATTCTCTTCTTCATTGATACATTTCATACAAATAATATATAAAGTATAATTAATTTTCTAGTAGGAATGACATGAATGATCAGACAGTAATTCCTGGTATAAGATCATTCATGAAGTATTATCGACTGTTGTATAATTAAAATTACAAATAGTGAACAAAACTTACATATCATTAAGATACAGTCATATTATAGCGAACAAGAAGGGGAAAAATAAAAACATTGAACAAAAAAAGAAAAAAGGAAATTCATAGTCTTTCAGCTTTGATCATTCCTTTGCATATAAATATATTTCTTAACTTTATTTTTGAATTGCATAATATTTGGGCTGTTTTTGATATCATCTGGTAATTTATCGAATTTCGAAATCGCCTCTGTGTAAACTTTTTTTGCCCAAGTTTAGAATTTGCAGCTTCAAGATGAAACAAGTTATATTGTCTAGTGTGATGATCATGAATTTCGGAATACCTGATTAATATAAAATTTGATTTAAGCTTTTTGTTGATGATATAATAGGAAATTTTGAGAGTATTGATTAAAAAGTGCTCTTCCAAAGAAAATGTGTTTGTTTCCTTATACAGTTGATTCGTTGGTGTATCATATGGAAGACGATACAATACTTTCAATGCCTTTTTATATAAAAATCATTTCCCTTGTATAATAAATAACTATTTCAGCGAAAAATTCTCGCCATCTACCTGCACCACGACGCCAGCGTGCTGACGAACGTCTTTTGCGCCCAATTGCTCGGCTTCGAGTCCGTCATGCAAATGTTCGAGACGAATTTCGTGCTGTGGGGCTGGGACATCACCTTCGAAAGCAACCGAACGAAATTGCAACAATCGGTGAACAACACGCTCGGCCCCACCGCCGCCATGAGTCTCAGGAATATACCGGTCGATCGGTTGCCCGTCATCTTCCTGATCATGAAGATCAGAAGTACCACGGAAATTTTCAATGTCGTCTATGGTGAGTTGCTTGGTCACGTGATAGTTGGTTTCCCGTCGGCTTTGTATAAAGAAGAGAAGACTCCTATTCGCGATAGAAAATAACATCGCTTCACCCGACGGCAACAACTTGAACACTTCTGAGCGGTTTGTTTTGATGATGTGACCAATAAGCCCAAACAAAAAAACCAATGGGAACCCATGAAAAAAGTAAACATGCCGCTTCGACAGCTTTCAAGAACCCCAATTGGGATTTAAACCTTTATTTTCCCGCGTTGTCATTCTGTCAAAAATATGATATTTTTGACGCCAAGTGTGATATGTCAAAATAATAATTTTGCCAGAACGACTCGGAAGATATGTTTCTACCATGTACGGTTGTATAAACAAATAATCATAAAATAATCAGTCACACAATTGAATGAACAATTATTATAATCTGCAATACTACTACCAAATAATCACACTTGATGATCACGTGATATATGCCGTCAGATAGCACATTCCTTAGCATTAAAACACAATAGGTGGTGTACGCTTATTTTCTATCGCGAATTAACGATCAATTTGTCTGTATATATTGTGGTATAGGCAACTGAACATACGCGAAAACTTCATAAACGATATGAACATACACCGCGTCGTTTCACTGACGAAATCTGCATTGAAATCGACATTGTGGATTTTTTTCGAAGATTTTTCGTTAACGGTGGTTAGCTTCCGTCCAAAGCTAAGTGAAAATTTGATATTTTTTCTATATACCTTTATTTCTCTTCTCCAAACCTTTTTCAATACAAATTGTCATAGACAAGCTAGTGAATTTTTCTTTTAGGCTCTCTGTTAGGAAAATTCTATAAATGCTGTGAGATTTTGGGACAAATCATCTGATTTGTCCTTACTACACGTATATTGAAATAATATTCATATTTTTATTTTATAGAAACGAGGAGAGAAAATCCCAAAAAATCTGGAATAATAAATATCAATGCTTAATTCTAGCCAATCATTTGGTATCATACTGATAATTTTTTCATGTTTGGATATCCGTTTAAAAACCTAGTCTGAGGTCTTGCTTTTACCTTCTTACCTATATTATTATAATGAATGTATTATAATAATCTGTCGAGTTAGTGACTGGTGGTTACTTCCCATATTTATTTTAGTTCATTCTTCCGGTTGCCGAAAAAATAGCATGTTTCATTTGGGTCAAAAGTGGCTCTGTTTGACTCGCAAATTTTGCTTTCGCTCGACTTTGCTAGACGCTGCCTTGCAAATGCAAAATTTGCTGGTCAAACAAAAAGTGTCACTTTTGATGCTAATAAAACAATCTACTGTTTTCTACAGCTATAAAACAAAATTGTTCTTGTTTAAATGTCTTCGATACATCAACAAGGTACTTTGTATGTCATCAATTTTATTTCCGCATCTGATATCACAATGACTCCATTGTGTTATTATTTCAAAAAAAATCTAATCGCTCATGGAATGTCAAATTTCAAGCAATGACAGCTCTGTCTAATAGATGAGCATTACTTGACAGGAAGTCAGATGGCTACAAGACGAAGTAATCGAAAATGCCGCTGTTATCTATTATAGCTGTGGAAAAATTATCCACACTATATTCCTAACAGTGGTCTTTGTTTGGTTGCCTACATCGATCGTTAACAGTCAAATTGATTGTTAATAGGCGTCATCAACGATCAATTTCGTGAACATTAAACAAATTTGTTGATACAGAGTCGACGGTTTTTTTCGTAAAAAAAAAAAGATCGTCCTGTATGGTCATTATTTTTCGGTGTTGCAGGGAATGTAGGGGTGAATGAGCTGCTATCGAATTTGATCGAATGTGTGGAGGTGTTTACGGAACACCAACGAGTGGAATCAAAGGAGGAAGAAGAGCGTGCCGAACGAGAACTTGTCAAATTCGAACAAGACATGGCTTTTCGCGAAAGTTTAGAAGCGGATAGGTAAGTTTTCAATAATGCAAAATTCTGAACATGTCCGTTTTTTTATTTCTCTGACTTCAAACTTGGAAATTTCGGCTATTGCTTTTTCAAAATTACTCCAACTTTCAAAACTAGATCAATGTTTCACTCATGATGAGGTGTTTTTGATAATTTTAACAATCAATTCATGACTTATTCAAAAAGTCATTTGAATTGATTCACGAATCAAATCACTGACTTAATTCAAATGATTTAATTCATGCCAACCCTGTTACTGGCTGATCATCCATCGATACTCCTGACCAAGGTGGATAGAATATAGTGTAATCACAGACAGTGTTTTGTTTCTCCCAAAACGCTTGACCGCAGATTCCGCAATAATGGCATATTAGTTCTCAGTTGTCCGCAAGATGGCGACACTTTTTACAGATTTCTTTCATGACAGAAAACAGAAAACGGCGCTTACACACCCCTTGCACCAGAAATAATAATATCATTGGTCGCGTGCACGATGACCGACCCTGGAGGCAAAATATTGAAACACAACCTCACTTCTGTGAATTATTGAAACACAACCTCACTTTTTTTATTTGTTTACAGAGGAATCGAAGGATTGAAATAGTTTTTCACAATATTTTGGCATACGAATCGTGTTTTTTGCGCTATTCATTAATTCGAGCATGCCTTCGCATTGTGCTGTTGTACAATGCACAAAAAATGTAGCGAGAGACGATGGAATATGATTTTTCAGGTAAATAGTAATCTCACATAGCTCTCATTATGGAATGTTGTCATTCCTTATTGAAATTCCTTCTGTCACTTCTGCAATACAAGCTAATACTGCTAATAGATTGAAAATGTCTACAACACACAGGATCATATTTCGTCAGCATGTGAGACCAGTCCTCCCGTTTGATTTCATGAATCCAATCTTCTTGCATTATTTTAGAAATTTCACGTGTATTTCTATTAGCTCCTATTGCAGAAAGAATTCCGATGAGAAATCAGAGAAATCAACAAATTTCAAAAATGAAAACAATGTGAGTGACTATAGTAGGTACTGACTTTTAAATCATAATATACCGACAAGATTCCTTCGTCTTCTGCTGCAGTTTTTGTGCATTGTACAACAGCACATCAATGAATAGCCGAAAAATACGATTCCTATACCAAAATAATTGTGAAAAACTATTTCAATCACTTGTAAACAAATAAGAAAAATGAGGTTGTGTTTCAATGTTGTGCCTCCAGGGTCAGTTATCTGACAGTTCTTGCACGCAACCCATAACATCCATAACATAACCTCAAATCAAATGAGATTCAATTTGGAAGCATGAAACTGTAATTTTGGGGAATTTTAATTATCATCAGTTCCACCAACCTTGAATTTTGGTTGAGATTTCGCCATCTGACGGGTAAAATGCGACCTATATTCCGCGATATTGAAAAGAATTCTTCTGTCAAGTAGGCCGTAGGTCAAGAACTTTGACGTGATCACAGATAGATCGGAGCAATCGGCAATAAACGAACGAAGTGGACATTTTGTTGACAGTGTGACGGTAACCTAACCTAACCCCATTTATTTATTTCCATTTCAATATGAGTATACCAGAAATTTTCTTTTTCTTGTTCTTTTTCCAAAAGAATCGCAGCCAGAGTCAAATCTATATGAAAAAATAATTTTGAATTTATCATCTAAGCACATCAATTAAATTTGTTCACTTACTATTTGTGACAATTTCTTCATAATTCTCATCTGACACCATAAAGGTGTGCGTTTTGTCTTGCTATGAATCAAAAAGTTGTATTTCTTTCATTATGAAAACGTTATTTTGAAAATACGAATACGAGCACACAACGGCCAGTCATACATAAACATTTGAACATTAACCTCACAAATTCAGATCAATCGCTTTGCTCGGTCAAAATTCTCCGAGCATTAAAATATTTGTCAAATCGCTCCTATTTTAATTGCCGAACGGATGAGATCTACTTCCCCTACATCTAGATGTCATAAACGAACGATTCAGATTCATCGGAGCAGTCTGATGTGAATACCACCATCTTCTGTTCATCCTGCTCCTGACCAATCGATTTTTTTTGTCCTGTTAAGAGCCAAAGAAGAGGCGAAAAGGATGCAGGAGAGAGCAGAGACTGAGGCGAAGCGTAAGCAAGAGAACGAGCAGGCCGAGACGGCGGCCAAAAAGGAGGCGTTCAGGAAACAGGTGGAGGCCAGTTTGCCGCCGGAGCCGCCCCTGGATCAGGGCGACAGCATCACCAAGATACGGTTCAGGCTGCCCAAAGGGGAGAACATCGAGAGACGGTTTCAAGCCAATACACAACTCAAAGTGAGGAAAACAGTTTTTATTTCACAAGTACACTTCTCCCACCACCAAAAAGTAGCAGGCCCGGATTACCTATAAGGCCAACCTTGGCCATGGCCACGGGAAAATCCGACATCACTTGACGAAGACGATTACGTGACTGCCGCATACTGCCTTTTCGCCAGATTTTTCAAAATGTTTTTTTTTCGTTTCTGTTATATGCTTACTTGAATTGCAAAAATAAATAAGAATGTGTTGATAGCTCAAATAACCCCAAAGAAGCTCTGAAACGAGGTTTTCAGTTATAGATCTCAAAAAAATTTCGAACTTCCCAGTCCTACTGGAAGGGGGAGTAATTCAGAGCTTTGGCCTAGGGCGCAAATAGCTGCTAATCCGGGCCTGAAAAGTAACCAAAAGTTTGAGATCCATTTTCGTCTAAACTACTTCTCCGATTTGAACGATTTTTGTTTTGAATGACAGGTTATCCTTAGAGTACAGGGTGATTCACCATAAATGTCCCATCCTCTAGCTCACTTATTTTTGAACCGATTTGAAAATTTGAAAAATCATCAGAAATGATTTTTCAGAAAAATATTTCCCATTGCAACAGAAAATACAGGGTGCTTGGAACAAACGATCTACAGAGTACTACTTGATTTTTTCAAATGGAGCACCCTGTATTTCATTGCATTTTTAGATTCTTCCTGAAGAGCTGATTTTATCAATGTTTCACACTTGGGCTCTACCAGAAATGATTACAGAGATATAGAATGTTCAAAATCGAGATTTTTCAACTTTAGGATTTTTTTGTGTGGAAACTATTAATTATTGGTCAAAGCGGCTTCAATGTTCCCTCAATTTTTGATTCACCATCTACTGACATTTAATTGGAACATATCATACAGTGTGGTTCAAGATTCAGAATTCTGATTATCCTGTATCTGTTCCAATCATTAAATGTCAGTAGATAGTAAATCAAAAGTTGAGACACGGACATGAAAGTCGTTTTGACCGATAATGAATAGTTTCGTCACAGAAAAATCCTAAAAATGAAAAATCTCGATTTTGAACACCGTATATCTCTGTAATCATTCCTGTTAGACCCCAAGTGTGATGCATTGATGAAATCAGCTCTTCAGGGAGAATCTGAAAATGCAATAAAATACAGGGTGTTCTATTTAAAATAAATAACAAAGTTGCTAGTTGTTTCTGACAGAAGTGGCAACACTGTATCGGTGAAAATATTTTAGAGGGATAGAGAAAATTCAATTATCAAAGCATCTCAATTTTCAGAATGTTCTGTCTTTTCATGATCCAGATACTTCTAATAGGCCATCCACCCTGGATCACCCTGTATACTAAGTATATGTACACCCAACCGCGAATAGACAATAACTGCCAAGTTAATGTTATTCATGGTAGAGTTCACATGTTATATTACTAAACTATACAGAGAGCTAAATGGGATAGGTCTATTATCCTTATTCATCACTCTATTAATTACTATTTCTAATTTTCTAACATTATTAACTTGCAATTTGAGATTATTAATATGTGTTGTGATCGTCATTGAACACGATTTATCTAACCTACCATATTTCAAATGTGCTAAGTGTTCTTTGAACCTTGTTTTTATGGGACGCCTGGTTTGGCCTATATATGTTTCATCACAATTATTACAACTAATTTCATATATTCCTTTTCAAGTGTGACCTCCTTATCTTTTGGATTACCTAATAAAGTGCCTAAGTCTTTGAAAACCTTATCAAGTCCTCTTGGCGCTTCATTAGGCAATCCAAAAGATGAGGTGGACACACTTGAAAAGTCAGAAATATATTAAATTAGTTGTATTGATTGTGATGAAACATATATAGGCCAAACCAGGCGTCCCATAAAAACAAGGTTCAAAGAACACTTAGCACATTTGAAATATGGTAGGTTAGATAAATCGTGTTCAATGACGAACATAACACATATTAATAACCTCAAATTGCAAGTTAATAATGTTATAAAATTAGATGCGTATGAAAGCTTAGAGATATTCAGGAATAGTCATAGAGTAATGAATAAGGATAATGGACCTATCCCTTTCAGCCCTCTGTATAGTTTAGTAATATAACATGTGAACTCAACCATGAATAACATTTACTTGGCGAAAATGTATCTCAAACTTTTGGATAATTTTTGGAGGTGCGTTAATTTTTTGGAGAAGTGTAGTTGATAAACGCGGTTTTGAAAAAAATCGGAGTTGTGCTTGAATTGTGGTCAGGGAGCAACTAACCACCTGCAAACTGTTTTCGGGTTCTTGGCCCTCCCCAGTGCAGGGAATGCACAGCGATTCGAATACCGTCATCTGAATTGACACTTGGACCCAACTAAAGCTGCTTATTTTTCTGCTAATGAATGCTTGATTGGGCTTTGAATTTCGCTACAGACGGGAGTCTTGGGATCGCTGTTCGGTGACTGCCATGCACTGAGGAAGGCATATAGCCCGAAACCGGTTTGCAGGTGGTTATACCTAACCTAACCTGATATTCTATTTATCAGGTAAAAACATTTTTTTGCTCTATTATCTTTTTTTCTCTTTTTTTTCAGATTCTTCTGGATTTTCTAATAGTACAAGGTTATCCAACTGATGAATTCAAAGTAATATCTAGCTGGCCTAGAAGAGATGTGAGTTTTGAATGTTCACTCATAGTAATGGGACGTTATACTATTCATGAAACTTTGTTTGTTTGTTTTTTTCAGTTGACATCGTTGGACGCAAGCCAAACACTGAAAGATTTGAAGCTGTGTCCCCAAGAAACTGTGATATTAGAAGAACGATAAACTTTCATAACATTCCCTTTTGAAGGGGTAGGTTTTTATACCGGCATTTAAACATGTAAAGTTATTTAATATATTTTTAATTCGATGTAGTAATAATTATTTAATGTATTCAGTTCGATAATATACATTCATACAGCCAATGACAAGTCATTTACAATTTTTTGCCAATACTACGAAACAAATTTGGTTACTAGATCTGAACGTGTTTATGATATCAAAGGTACCACAACAAGCGAAAAGAGGGTCGAAAATTGTTTTTTTTCTTATAATTGCAGCTAGAGAGCTGTGCTTCTACTCCGCACTAGGACATCCCTTAAGGACCCTGCATACCTAATTCAATGGCCCTACGAGAAACTTGATTTTTGGGTCTGAAAATGAAAGAAGGTTAACCCCTTTGAACTTTTTTCAACTCATTCAAGGTGTCAGAATGCGCTGAAAACTTGCATACAAATTGTTTACGATGTGCTGAACAAGAATCTGGAATGCGTTTCTTTTTATACCTTCTAGTTTTTTAGATACTCGCATTCTAACACGAAATGATTGGGTTACTAGATCGGGACATTTTCATATCGAAGGTACCACAAGAAGAGAAAAGAGGGTCAAAAATTGTTTATTTTTTATAATTGCAGCTAGAGAGCTGTGCTTCTACTCCGCACTAGAGCATCCTTTAAGGACCCTGCATACCTAATTTGATGGCCCTACGAGAAAATTGATTTTTGGGTCTGAAAATGAAAGAAGGTTAACCCCTTTGAACTTTTTTCAACTCATTCAAGGTGTCAGAATGCGCTGAAAACTTGCATACAAATTGTTTACGATGTGCTGAACAAGAATCTGGAATGCGTTTCTTTTTATACCTTCTAGTTTTTTAGATACTCGCATTCTAACACGAAATGATTGGGTTACTAGATCGGGACATTTTCATATCGAAGGTACCACAAGAAGAGAAAAGAGGGTCAAAAATTGTTTATTTTTTATAATTGCAGCTAGAGAGCTGTGCTTCTACTCCGCACTAGAGCATCCTTTAAGGACCCTGCATACCTAATTTGATGGCCCTACGAGAAAATTGATTTTTGGGTCTGAAAATGAAAGAAGGTTAACCCCTTTGAACTTTTTTCAACTCATTCATGGTGTCAGATTGGGCTGAAAACTTGCATACAGACTGATTACGATGTGCTAAACAAGAATCTGGAATGCGTTGCTTTCTATACCTTCTAGTTTCTTAGATATTCGCATTCTAACACGAAATGATTGGGTTACTAGATCGGGACATTTTCATATCGAAGGTACCACAAGAAGAGAAAAGAGGGTCAAAAATTGTTTATTTTTTATAATTGCAGCTAGAGAGCTGTGCTTCTACTCCGCACTAGAGCATCCTTTAAGGACCCTGCATACCTAATTTGATGGCCCTACGAGAAAATTGATTTTTGGGTCTGAAAATGAAAGAAGGTTAACCCCTTTGAACTTTTTTCAACTAATTCAAGGTGTCAGAATGAGCTTGAAACTTGCATACAAATTGTTTACGATGTGCTAAACAAGAATCTGGAATGCGTTGCTTTCTATACCTTCTAGTTTTCTAGATACTCGCATTTTGACAGGATTGGGTTACTAGATCGGAACATTTTTATATCTAAGGTAAACTAATCTCTTTCTTCCTTCCCCAAAAATACATTTGAATGAAAGACTATGATAAAATATACAATATTTTATTAAGAAATAATGGAAGCAACATAATATTCACTTATCATGCATCTAACAAAACTAAATAAAGGATATATTTTTATCAACATTCATTTGACTCTGAAATTCGTATTGCTGCAGCAAAACACAAAATGTTCCTGCTTTTCAAGCAGAAATACTTCTTTATCACAATATTCTGAATATTCAATATATTTATATATTATCATATAAAAGCATATGTAACAATGGCGTAATATTACAATTTCAATATTTTATTCGTTCATTCGTCTACAAGTTCTAAATTCACTATGTCTAATAATCATTCAAAGTTTGGACACCACTGCAGGAGTTTTCATAAGAGTAGTTTCACATACATATTCAAACTGAATAGTTCCAGAAAGAGAAAAAGCGTTTCCTTTTATACTTGTCCTCCTCGAGGATTCAACTAAAAATATTGAGATTATACGAGGTGTTTCTGAAATAAGTACATATATTCAGTACATTGATATGATACATAAGGAATATTCCCTTGATATCAGATTTTTCTAATTCCCCTAATAAACGAGAAATTTCATCCCGAAAATTGAACAAAAAACGAAAAAAAAAAGAAGTATGCCACTTTAAAACAATTCAAATGATTGTACGCGTTAAAATCTGAACAGAGGTGACGTCAGAATTGCTACAGTGTAGAACTTTGGGTGGAAAGAGGAGTCTAACCACAAATTTTATTTTAATCCCTATATTTTTTTATTGGTACCAATCGACGAGCTTTCTCAGTTTGAAATATTTGCACAAATCTCAATGCCACCTTGTATATTGTAGATATCCCACAGGAACAAAAAGTTCCTGTCAGTTTTCATGCCATCTATTCGAAAATAAAAGTATTCTCATCAGTCTCTCCAGCATGAGATTGATGTGGAGAGTAATTGAGTAGGCTGGAACCACGAAGACAAGTATAAAAATTACTCAGTTTCCTCTTCATAATTGGAAAATGGTGTTCGTAAAATGTACTGCTATCAAATTTTCTCTTTCAGTTAGTGACTAGACAAAAAAATAACCACTGTTATTTGATTAAATTACACATAGATTCGATGACATTTCAATCTATGAGTTGTATAACATACTTTTATATCAAGATGATTGAATAATTCTTGAAAAAAAAAGCAAGCAGTTAAGTAGTCATATTTTTACATTTTTACAAACAATTAATGTTCCTTCAAGTTTGAATACCCGCAAGTGTATTGTTGTTCTTCCTGTTTATTTACCATACAGCGTATTTTCGAAGGTTAGGCATCTCTTTCAACAAAATGTAGGATTCATAAAAATAAGTAATTTGAAAAAAATCGAATGGAAATTGAAAATAACGAAGATATGTTTGGATTCGAGGAAATGTATAAGTATTCTATGCACCTAATTTTGCTATTTTTTGTAGACTAATGTTTGTCAAAAGATTTATCATCATTTGTTCTACATCATGTTGAAATAAAATGACTTGCCTTTGAGAACACTCTACATAAAAGTTATCTTAAAATATCTGGTAAACAGAATATTTGAGACAAATTAAATCAATATAACACTTTAATATCTACATTATTTGCCTTCAAATTCAATTTGAAAGAAGAAAAAACATTTTTTTCAGACTTTCAGAGATACTTACTTTACACCAGTGGCGGCTCCTCAGAGGAGGCAACGGAGGCTGAGCCTACTCAGAGATTTTCCTTAAACTAATATTATCAATACTTTCTCATTAAAAGGACACCAAAATACATAGATTTTGATTTTATTCCCTGTTTTTAGTTAAATATTTTTGAATTGGCAACAGTACTTGCCCACGCATCACACGTTGAAGTCTGCAAATCACGCGTAAAATATTCAACTTGGCAACATCTATAGAAGGGTAGACTCCTTCACAATGCGCAACCCACGCGCCCGAATAGCACGTGTTTGTCGTGTCGCTTCGCGAATTGCGGACAAACGCGAGTGCATTTTTTATGTTTATGTTAGGTTAATGGAGTGTTTTAAACGATTGCGATTCAGTGGAATACTTTTTGGTGAACCCATTCAGTGCTTTGTCTTATGAAGATAAATTGATTGTGAAAAACAAACGTCCGACACCGGAATTAAAAAATCTGATTGTAACAGGTAACAAACAAAATCGTTCGTTCAATTCTGATAATTATAAAAAATATATCTCGTTGACGGGATCTGAGGTAAGGAATATGCTATTTTGTTGGTACCGCGTATTATTTTCAACTGTTAAGTCATCATGTTGGGTGCGATTAGGATATAATGATTTGAAAAATTTGCCTCGCGGATTGGATAGACACTGCAAATCACAGGAACACATCTCTTCAAGTATTAAGTTCAGGTTAACTGGTAAACAGAATGTCATTGAAGCTATTGATTTGGGTGAGTAGAGAGTTGTTTTTCACAATAAATCTCATATTCAGCCTCCTCTGTCATGAAAGTCACGAGCCGCCACTGCTTTACACTCAAAATTTTCAGACATGCGCATTTCCCAATCTCTCAAATGATATGAAGCAATGATATACTTTCTAATGAAGAATATAAATGTCTATGGATGATAGGTAAACAAAAACAAAAACACAAAGAAAGGAAGATTCCGGAAAGGGTAGAGAGAAAGCGGTGAGGTAAATTCATATTTCCGGAAACCTCCAATAGGAATGTACACGCTGCTATTCTTTGCAGATATCCTCTAGTCAGGCAATCGATTTGGCTTCGGGAAGGAACGCCTCCCAGTATTTTATGAGCTAGATACCAGGAAAGAATTATTTAGAATTGAATAACAAGAAAATCAAAAATCAATCATATAAACACTAAAAAGCGCAGGTATAAATACAAATGGTCATGAGATTTTGACAGTACACTGTACATTATTCTTTTACCATCACAAGAAGCCATCAATTTTTTATTTCATCATTTAATAACAAAGATTATAAAATGAAACAAGTAAGAAAATGGCATGAAAAAAACATGGAAATCAGATAGAGGATTTAGGAAAAATATCTAATTTTGTATCTTTTCACTCACTTGTGCTTGATGTTCCAAATGATTCTCCAAGTATTTGATGAACATCACTTTGAAGTCATGAATCCTGCATTTTTCGAATCTCTCGATTTCCTTTTTGATCATCTGAGAAATTCGATCAAAGTTCTCTTGACCACGTTCTACCTTTGATTCCCACTAAAAAAAGAAAACAACAATTTCAAAAATGACAAGGATATGACAAATAGCCAACTCAAAATGCAAATTTCAAAAAATGAACTAAAACATTTTGTTTCTAAAACGTTTTTTTATAGCCTAATACCGGGTGATCTATAAGAGTGTGCAGGAACACAAGCTTTTTATAAAAAATATTGTTAAAGACAAGCTGTGAAAATATCCGACAACAAAAGCGCCCACATAACAATTTTGAAAATAATCGGACCATAATCAGAACACTCATCAGCCATTTTGAAGCAGCCATCATGAATTTCCCGATTTTGATAGAAGAACCATAATTGCCGACCCAAAAACCCCTATATACCTATTTTGAATAGATTCTGATAATAATTACAAAACTCGTCAGCCATATTGGATCCGCCATCTTGGATTTTCTATTTTTGACGAAAGATCATAATCGCCGATCCAAAAAACCCTAGATACAAATTTAAAATTGAATCGGATCATAATTACAAAACTTGACCGCCATTTTGAAGCAGCCATCTTGAATTTCTCAATTTTGATGGAAGAATCATAATATCCGAACCAGAAAATCTTCAAATACCAATTTTGAATAGAATCGGTTCATAATTACAAAACTTGTCCGCCATATTGGAGCCGCCATCTTGAATTTTCCAATCTGGACAGAAGAATCATAACTGCCGACCCCAAAACCCATCAGATACCAAGTTTGAATAGAATTGAATCATAATTATAAAACAATCAAACGATTAGAATGATGCCAATTTTGAATAGAATCGGATCATATAATTACAAAACTCGTCCACCATTTTGGATCCACCATCTTGAATTTTCCCATTTCGACGAAATAATCGTAATCTCCAACCCCAAAAACGCCCAAGTATCAATTTTGACTACAATCAGATCATAATTACAAAACTCGTCCGCCATATTGGATCTGCCATTTCGAATTTTCAAATTTTGACGAAAGAATCATAATCTTTGACCCCAAAAACCACCAGATACAAATTTTGAATAGATTCGGATCATAATTACAAAACTCGTCTGCCAATATGGAGTCGCCATTTTGTTTTTGTGTAAAAATGTCTTGATGCATTGCCACCAAAATCATGTACATCTGCCAAATTTCAAAGCAATTGATCCGTTTAAAGTGGGTCAAAATCGAGTCCATACATACATACATACAGGTGAAGGTAATAAAAGAGTATTAAAAAATTAGGGTGTATTGTGTATCTGCAAAAGTTGAATGTAAATTATCCTGTACGAGAAAAACGCTGAATAAAAGGAAAATTCACCTCGATAACTTCCGAATTGGCTTGGTCCATTTTGTCCGTTCTATTGGCAAGTTCCAATTTCAGTTTGGCCTCGCGCTTTTTCGCCAACATCTGCTGCGAATGTTGCCAATGTTGGAAGAGCTTCGTCCGCTCGTGGAAGGCGTCTCTGACGGCCCCCAACAGGCCCAAATAGTCTTTCAGCAGTTCGCAGAGAATGAAGAAATCCGTGTTGGCCTGCTCCAAGTGCAAAGCTTCCACCTGCCACAACGACAATCATACTGAATTATTTCATCCAGTGCCCGCCTAGAATCCGTTTTTCATCACCTAATTTTTGAACCCTCTGGTATAAGTGATATATCGCAACGAAATTTAGAGGTCTCATATAGGAGATGAAAATATACTTTTTAATGAAATTACAGTTTAAAAATCCAAAATACCATCTTGAAATATTATTCCATTTTGAAATCTCGCCATAATTCTGAACAGTTTTATCGATTACACTTTACTCTTGAGAATTTTTTGTTCACGATAAACTCACTTTGCCACCAAGAATGGCGAGAATACTTGTTTTATTGCTATAAAACACTTGAAAATATGGGCAATTCGAAGATTTTCATGGGCGATAAGGAACAACTTTTAAAATAAATCAGTAATGTACCGACCTGCGTCCGAACGCTCTAGTTCATATTTCCACCGTTGGTGGCACTACGGTCGCTACAAATGACATATGATAGACGGATAAAAGCATCTCGTGTGACGCTTTTACCACGTTTCACGTTTACCACAATTCATGCGAGATGTATCTTTCTCGTAAGAAATGTTGTTTACAAAATATTAGCGCATACATATGTATTTTTCACGTTTTTGACGCATACTCAAGATGCTTTTTATACGTTTTAAGCCTTTCTCTCACCGTGTCTTTAAATTAGGACAGCCTATTCTAATATAATTTTAAAATAACTCAGATTGTTCTCACTTCAATCTCACACCAAGCTCTTATCATGATAGTAAATTATTGATAATGAACATGCTTGCAGCCAATTGAGAAATATTGTGAGTTGGAATCAATAAAATGAACAGTAACTATATAAGACAGATCTGTAGTTTTTCATGATGACATTTCAACTCATTTTGGTGTTTGGTGAATGGTCAAATGACCTCTTACTGGTGAGGAGTTCTTGCAGATACAGATGTGATGCAAATACATAAGATGTCGTATGACAGAGTTCAGAGAATTTTTATTTAATTGACTCACTTTGCTATTGAGCCCAAAGGGTTTTTTCTTTGAAGATGATTTTATCGAATTAAAAAAAAAAGTGCGGAGGCAGTCTTTGGGGACTACCGATAGAAGTGAAAATCTTGTTTTTCATTATTTATTTGAAAATTTATATTGAAAGCAAAAAGAAGAATATAACAGTCAGTATAAAAACACGGGTTTGTACTTTTTTTTTTTTTTTTTGATTGATTGTCTTTATTACCCCAAGAAACATTATTGTGAACTATGTATACACTTTTTGACAAAAGATATATAATCTCCGATCCCGAAAATCCCCAGATACCAATTTTGAATAGAATCAGATCATAATAACAAAGCTCGTCCGCCATATCGGATCGGCCATATTGGATTCGCCATCTTGAATTTTCTAATTTTGACGAAGGAATCATAATCTGCAGACGAAAGAATCATAATCTCCGAACCCTCTCAGTTTTTCGTGTGCAAATGGAAAACGTTCGTTGACGATGACGCGAAATCCAATGTTTTTTTTTTTTTTTTCAAAAAAAGAGTGTTGAACGCGCCTAAAGAAGTTTTTACTTGAAAAAACTCAGATTTTGATCATTGAAGCTTTCAATTCGAGAGCGAGAGGATTTTAGAGCATGCGAGGTGTCCTACCGTGCCCAGACGATGCAATCTGAAAAAAAAAAGACATTTGTGGAATTGCCTACTTTTTCTTCTGTGTCTGCAAGCTGAGACAACGCCCTGGAAAGGGAGTTGTGGTCCTCGCAGGCGCTGAGTTGGGCAGCGGATCTAGCAACTCCGTTGGTCAGATGGGCCAACTCCTTCCTGTAGGCGACCATCGCCTCCACGCTGCCGTGAAGTTTCCTCAGCTGCGTTTCCAGTGATTCCACGTGCAGCAATTTTTCCTCAAACCACTAAAAACCCGACTATCGGTCACGTTCTGCTCAGATCCATCATTTAAATAGGAACCAGCCCCATACTTGTGTAGTCAAAATCCTACATGGTCCTTCGAGCCGGATCATGAAGGATTTTGCCTACAGAAATATGAGACTGGTTCTCACTTGATACAACTATATGAGCTAGTGTAATAGTTAAATAACGAAATTATATACTTTTCATCATCATTTTAGTCTGACATTGAAGTATCAATGTATCAATTTGAAAACTCTTTTCTTCATATTGAATAATTCTGATTCAACTTTGTTTCTTCCATTTTATTAGATATTAGATTTGTTAATTCATTTTTTGTGTCTCTCCATAAAGTTGTCACAATCTTGTAATGATAGCTAGCACGAGGTAAGTTGAGTTCTTAATAATCAACCCTGACTGGAACCCTTTGACATTTCTAAAATCATGTACAAAATAAAGGAATTACAATGTTTCATGTTACATCGGAATTTTCGATTTTACTTCTCGATTGCTGTACAGTCAATTGAAATTTTCAAAAATATTACTCTAGCTGACCCAGCAAACGTTGTTTTGCTATATATATAAATATTCTTCAACACACTTATTATTTTATTTTCTATTTCCTTATAGTTTGGTTATCTATAAAAGCGTGTTTGTTTTTCTACTATTCATTACATCCCAATGTTGACAAAAAAATCTCCGATGCCGAAATCTCCCATATCACAATTAGAAAACTCGTCCGCCATATTGGATCCGCCATCTTTTTCAAATTTTGAAGAAAGAACCATGATCTCCGACCCCGAAAATCCTTAGATACCAATTTTGAATAGAATTGGATCATAATTGCAAGAGTCGTCCGCCATATTGGATCCGCCATATTGGATCCGCGATCTTGAATTTTCAAATTTTGATGAGAGAATCATAATCTCCGACCCCGAAAACCAATACAATATACCAATTTTGAATAGAATCGGATCATGCGATGATTACAAAACTCGCCGACATATTGGATCTGCAATCTTGATAATCCCAATTTAGACGATGGAATCATAATAGCCGACTCCGAAAACCCCAAGATTTCAATTTTGAATAGGATCGGAACATAATTACAAAACTAGTCCGCCATATTGTATCCGCCATCTTGAATTTTCCAATTTTGACCAAAAAAATCATAATCTCCGACCCCAAAATCCCACAAATACCAGTTTTGAATATAATCGTATTATAATTACGAAACTCGTCCGCCATATTGTATCCGCATCTTGAATTTCTTAATTTTTCCTCTCATAGGAATCGTCTCCTGGCAATAACAAACACAACAAAAAAAGAATTAGCCAAATCGGTACAGCCGTTTACGCGTCATGAAGGGAAATAGGGATTCATTTTTATACAAAGTGATAATATCAACTTATCAACTCACAGGATCTGTTTCGTCCATCTTATACGTTATTTTGTTGACTGTTTCCCCGACTTTGTTGAACAGCCTCATGACCCCAGCACTACTCAAAGCAGAAGTGCTTGTAGCCTTTGGCAAATCAACATCTGAAAGTAAAACATGAACTTTTAGCCAGAAAGAAACATCGTTTTCCTGATGTTCTCACCAGATTCGAGGAACTCCCTGAAATCTGGATCTAAGACCAAGACAGGATGTTGGGACGTCCTTCTCAAGAACCGCTCTAATGAAGCTCTCCTCCTCTCTACGAAATCGTTGCCGTTCGTTTGTCCGTCTTGACTGGACATTTTCATTTTCGTGGTACCTTTGTTCCAATCAAAAAGTTGCCTAAATTGAGCTCTTTTCTATCTTGAACGAGAGAGAGGAAAGTTCTCTCCTCTTCCATCTCTCTCTGCAATGCTACCAACGTGGCCGCATTGAAATATAGAGAGGTCCGATAAATCTTTCCTTGTCTAACATGTACTTTGTGCCGCTGAACTATTTTTCAATGCAGCAGAGTGTCAAATTTAACGATATTAACAAATTATGTCAAAATGAGTATGATATAAATTAAAATTTCATTTTGAAAATTCGAAATGTCATCAGTCAATGACATTCATGACAGACATATCACTTCATTATAATATCGAAAATAGTTCAGTGGCGCAGACTAGGGGTTAGACAAGGAAAGATTTATCGGACCTTTCTATATTTCAATGCGGCCACGTTGGTAGCATTGAAGAGAAAGATAGAAGAGGAGAGAACTTTCCCCTCTCTCGTTCAAGGTAGAAAAGAGCTCAATTATGGATGATTCAAATGGATTGTTCTTTTTGTTTTTGTTCTTCAGTGAACTGCTGAATATTTTTTTCTACGAGTGTGAAAATTACACTCTTCTGCAAAGAGTATCTTTTCCGTACAAGTGCTGAAAAAACTTTCAACGCCAAAAAGAGTATGAAAAGAGGAATTTGGGTTTTTCCACATGCTCCTAGAAATAATAGTGTACCTAACAATAAAGTCACTTTTTGCATTTGTTAGGTATGTTTTAATAAAATATTGCTGTGGAAAAAGGTACAGGGCGTTTCAATAAAAAAAGTATTTACAAAGCACACTGTTCAAAGATTAAATAATATTTGAAATCTCCTTCCCAGACTTTGAAATGATGTTCATGTGATATTTTATAATCAAAATTTTGTCAAAAAAGTTACCAGTTGATATCTTCATTAGGAAACTGTATAATAATACATAAATTAATATTCTCTGTATAAAATTATGCCTCTGTGCCAATTTTGATAACAATAATTGATGAATATAAAGTGAAATTATTAGCAAAAAACGAAAACAAAAATTCAACTTCAACGCCCTGTATCTTTTTTCACAGCAATATTGCATAGGTGTTTGGTCCTCTATTGCCATATTTTGGTCCAAACAACCCTGTATATATAATGAAATTGTATTCTTTAGTAGACTACTGCAGTGTGTCCCTTCATAAATTTTATAACCTTTTTTTTTTGGATTGAAAAACGAAAAAATCCCTATATTATAAGTATGTGGTTCATCAGACTAGGAATCAAACAACCCATATTATATCAAATTTTCTCCCAAATTTTCTCCTAAAGTTTACGCCGTTTTTTATAGAGAAAAATACCAAAAAACTTTGTTTACAGATTCCTGACTTCAATTTGAAGTAAACAGTGACAATGTATGTCATGTCTGAGAGCAAGGAGTTCAAGTCATGATTTTTCTTAAATACTAAAGGGACAAAAATTACTTGGTATATAATGGAATTCTAGATTAATCAATGTAACAAATTGGAGTTTTCACAAGCCTAGATTGAAAGACTTCCAAGATATTGACAATAACTAAGGGTAGATGAATAAAAAATTTAGAAAATCAACCAGGAAGACTCACTTTATCACATATGTTGATAGGAATTGTTTTCTCAAAATGGAGAAAAGAAACTGAAAATGAAGTTTGGTGGTCTCATTCTTAATCATTATGTATACAGCATGCCCCTAAACCAGTGGGACATTTAAATTAATATCTTATATTTATACTTTATGTGGTTCAATATAATATCACATGAGATGCAGGATGTTCTGATAAAAAAATAAAGTAATATAACTCAATAGAAATTCATGAAAATAAAAATGCTGTTTCAAGTCACCAAGATCAACAAGATAAGTTTCCATCTAGTAGAAGAAGAAAAGTCAATTCCCATTTTCATTATGAGATTTATTTGTCATTGACAAATTTTCATATTTATTCATTTTTGATTGTTGCTTCATTACAAGAGATTGATGATTACAAACCTGAAACACCTTGTATTATAAGAGCCTAAAACATATTCAGAAAGGAATAACAACTGATAACTGTAACAGAAATATTTATATGAACCTGGCAATATTTCTTCAGGCAATATTAAATAAAACCAAAATGTTTACTCATTGCTGAAAAACAATCTTAAATTAGACAATCTCTGGTTAGACAAATACAATATAATAGCAAGTACTGATATTTATTCATTCAGTATACATTTTCATACAGCAACAAATTCAAAATATTTGATTTATGATTAAAATATACCCCTATGAGAGCTAAAAAATTACTGTTTACTCTGAATGACTCATTGGCCATGAATAAGACAAGTTCAAAATAACACCTTATCAATACTGGAAAATACAATTACTATCAATATTGTATTGTTTTTATGAGTGATCACATTCACAAGAAATAGGCAGGAATTGTCATGACATAGGATTACTCAAATCATTATTGAAAACAAAAGTACTCAGTTATTCATATATTTCTTTGATAATGATGGAGGTATGAAATTAATATAGATTATATACCAGGTGTCCCAATTATCTTGTCAAATAAGCAATATTGCCTGTATAGGATAACTTGGGACACCAGGTATAAAATATATACATTCATTCAATAAAACTTCATAGAATAATTTGTACTGAATTAAATTTTAGTTTTCCAAGAAAATTTCATCAAGTATTATTTACTAAGAACTACAAAGTTCTTCATCTTATCAGCTAAAAATATATACCTAATCAGTGAAGTCAAAGTAGGTATGGCACTTTTGTGAGTTCTATATAAAAAATTGTATCCATTCCATTCATACCAGAAAAAATCTGAAAAACACTTACCTATTACACTTTTTTCTGGTGCTGGTGGTATGATCCTTCCAATTTTGAGGTACTTCTCAGTGAGTTTATCATGCAAACCCAGGAAATCACTGAATCTCCTTGTGACAGAAAACTCTCTCCTCTTGAACATGGGCATATTGGTCTTTGTGGTCACTCTATATGCCATGTAAGCACCCATACCATCTCCTACTTTGGCAGGTTCAGTAATATGGATTTCCAGGAAGTCATCTTCCTCTGAAATCTCTGGCTTGGAAGGTACCTGCTCCATACTCGGAGTGCGACTAGACCCATTGTTGATCGGTATATTTTCCATTTCGCCTTTTGGCTCGGTGACGTTCATTCTTGCAAGGCGGTCTTGAGTACCATTCAAGTCTTCAGAAATGTCTTCATACTGTGACACTATCTCCTAGAATTGAAACAAAGGTAATTGCTTTATTTGAGAAGCAATAAATTTCTATTACCTGGTGCGCCGATACGAATAGATCGTCGTCTTTCTCAGCGAGAATATCGACATTCTCGAATAAAGGGGGAGGTTCCACCGGTTCCGCCGCCATTGCTACTATGCTTGTTGATAAAAAATAATAGACAAAAAATTCAGACGACGAAACGTTATCACTATCAGTGAATAATTTTGATTATCAGCAATCCAATCACTTCAATCAGCTAATTTCAAGTTTTTCAGGATCAAGAATGTCATGTCAGTTTGGTGTTGCTGAGTTGCTGTCCCTGTCATGCATACTGACACTGACAGCATGCTGTTGGCAAAAATGACAGGAGTCTAAAATTATTCTTCTTCTTCTTTTACGTTTCTTATCCTCTTATCCAGAGTTGGACATCGACCCAAAATTCTTCTTTTTTCTACATCAGCATCCTTCTCTTTTTTAAAATATTTTCCCAAGCGTACTTAGCCAGTACTTATCATTTTTTTTAGGGCTCAATAAACGGCAACAGCACTATGACATAGACATGTGAGAGTTTTGACATCGTTGACGTTGAAGTTGATGCCGCCATTTGTAAAAATATTTCGCCGCTTTTCGCTCGTTTAATAACTCGTTTTGCTTGTGGTTTTTGGCGAGGGCCATTCCAGCGGGTCTATTTGGGTTTCGATTTTAGGGTAACGGGAACGAGACAAACCGGTAATTGATTCATAAAAAAAAACACGAATTGTGAAAAAAAAAAATAGAGTGAGCTGAAGTAAGTATTACAACAAAACCTGATCTAAATATTGCTATTTGAAAACATCCAAACGCTTTGGGCATTTTGCTGTCTATATCGCTTTCTTCACATCATATTTTGCATAATTAAACATTACTAACAAACATTTCCATTGACAAAGACTCACGATTCAAATTTCCTCTCGAATGTTGAAATTAAAAGAATTATAATGAAAATCTAGGTTATGGCAGATAACGAAGACTTGGGTTTAGGTGAGGATCATTTAGATTCATTTGATGACACTAACGGCATGCACGACGAAGCCCTATTGAACGATACTGACGGCGATGGAGTTGCTGCAGATGATCCAGAATTGGAAGCCATCAAAGCCAGAGTTCGAGAAATGGAAGAGGAGGCAGAAAAGTTGAAACAGCTTCAGAGTGAAGTTGATAAACAAATGAACATGGGTAGCCCTCCTGGCCTGAGTAAGTTACCCATCACTTCAGGCACTTGATATACCAAATTGAGTATGCTTTTTGTAGCTAGTCCACTGAACATGTCCATAGAGGAAAAAATGGAAGTGGACAATCGTAGCATATATGTGGGTAATGTAGATTATGGGGCAACTGCAGAGGAGCTGGAGCAGCATTTTCATGGTTGTGGCTCAATCAATCGAGTTACTATTCTGTGCAACAAGTATGATGGCCATCCCAAAGGTTTTGCTTACATTGAGTTTGGTGAAAAAGATTCTGTACAAACAGCCATGGCAATGGATGATTCTCTCTTTCGTGGAAGACAAATTAAGGTAACAAACTACCATTCTGTTTTCTATGGACCCCATTACAAATTGATGTTTATTAAGGTTATGCCTAAAAGAACCAATAGGCCAGGATTGTCATCTACCAATAGGCCTCCTAGGGGCAGAGGGGGTACTTTCAGGGGTTCCAGAGGAATGGGCAGAGGTGGATTTTATGGTGGCTACAGGCCCATGCGTAGACCAAGGTATATCTTTTGCCATTTAGTAAACTAGAAACAACAGATAGTGGAACTAATCCAGAAAAAAATTGAGAATGATAGATAACTGAAATGTGCCAAGGTTTCCTGATGCCCCAATTCAGCTAATCATATTCTATATTGAAGACTGGTACCTTTGGCACTATAATACACTATGCACTGTTTTACTACTAACCAAAACAATTTTTTATGCCTCCACATGTGTTTTGCTAACATAGTTAGCATCTTCAGGAGAAGAATAAAAAAATGGTTTGGTTAGTGGTAAAACAGATCATAGTGTATTCATATTATTTTCATCCAGCTTATTTGAATTCATAGGGTTTCTTCTTCATCAAATTAGAACAGCTTAAAATACTTTGAAGAGCTACAATGGTAGATTCAATATTTTTAGGTGATTTCTGCATGCTCATTCATCTTTTTTGATGCTTGTTTTTTTTTTCAGTAGTTGATGTTGTTTCTAATTTAATAACTGCTAACCCGTTTTTTAATGAACTGATGTCTACATTTTTAGGGGTTATAGACGAGGATATTTTGCTCCATATTAAAAGTAAGGATACAGTTACATAATTCCATTTTTTCACCCACATAATTTCTCAACTTGGTTCAAAAGCAGAGAAAAAAGAACAATTGAAAAAAATACATCATGGAAAAGAAAAAAGAATGGACACAAAAAATTATTAATCATAAGTTCAAATCATTGTGGAAACTAAATACATGCAAAAAAAAATGTGAATTTTATGAAATTGCATGATCTGAAGAATGATAATTACTGGACTAAATTGTTGTGCTTTGGAAAAAAAAATTGGTGTGATTGGGTGTATGGAGATTACATTTTAGGTGTTATTTGGTGTATTTTACTTGTTCAATTTTCTAAATATTGATGCAAGTTTCCAGGTATCTTCACCTATTTTCGAGGATTTTTTTAATTTGGTAATGCAAAAAAATTAATGTGCTAGAAAAGTAAAATAAATAAACATTGATTGAAGTGTATATAGTATTTGATATCAATAGGCCTACTACTCTTAGTCAATAAATAACAATATAATAAGAAACAACAGATGAAAATATGAAGAAATGAAATTCAGGTCAATGGAAATTTTGTATTGAAGCGATAGTACATCTTTTATTATGAGTTTGTTCGAAAGAATTTCACCACAAATAAATCGAAAACGGCTTGTTTGTCAAGATTCCACAAGAATCTCTTCATCAGAATTCAGTGGATAACTGATATCCAACAATATCCAGTTTCAAATTCCAAAGGGATCACTTTTTTGTATCTAGATAGAGAATAATATTTTTTTCAACAAACTCCAACGCCCAGTATACAAGTGATGAAACATTTTTGTGAGTATAGTTTATTTTAAAAGTTTCTCCTAATTCAAGAGTCTGATTATCATGCTTACTTAGGTAAGTATCAAAATTTCAGACTTAGAATGACGACCCAGAACTGTTCAGTATTATTGATATTTTTGTTGTAACATGAATTTTGATGAATATATACAGGGTTTCCCAAAAGTACCGGAACGGCCGAATATTTCAGCAACGGCTTGACATAAAATTATGAAATTTGGTATACGGGGGTAATCAGTTGTGCCGGATCTAAAAATAATATTTGCAACGTTGCCAGTTTTACAGTTTTTCCCATAGAGCCCTCAACTTTAATTTTTTAAATGTAATGCTATGTTTATTTTTAGCGCATTCGATTTGTTGTCCTCTCAAAACTACTATGACCCTCTATAATATCAAATTTGTATTCCCTTCATTTTTGTTAATACGACAAATGAACATTTCGTCAAAAAAATATCACAAAATATCAATATTTCGAGAAATCGTGGCGATATGACAATAAAAATTAATTTATAAGGAAGTTTTCAGCAAGTCTGATCTAAAAATACCATTTACAACGTTGCCAAATCTACATGTTGTTTATACTAAATCTTCCTAAGTATTTATTTAAACTGCCTTTTTAATAGATCGGCAAACTCTAGATTTTTTTATTTGTTTCTCGGAAAACTAATTCATAAACTTCTTGATAGCTTCTCATGATCAATAGGGTTTAAATTGTTTAGGTTACAAGAATGTAACTTCATGGCATCAAATAAAATGCTCAATAATTAAAAAGGCAATTCAAATAAATACTAAAACATGTAGATTTAGAAACGTTGTAAATGGTATTTTTAGATCAGACTTGCTGGAAACTTCCAAATAAATTAATTTTTATTGTCATATCGCCACGATTTCTCGAAATATTGAAATTTTGTGATATTTTTTGACGAAATGTTCATTTGTCATATCAACAAGAATGAAGGGAATACGCAAAATTGACATTATAGGGTCATAGTAGATTTGAGAAGACAAATCGAATGCGCTAAAAATAAACATAGCATTACATTTAAATAAATAAAGTTGAGGGCACTATAGGAAAAACTGTGAAACTGGCAACGTTGCAAATATTATTTTTGGATCCGGCACAACTAATGATCCCCGTATACCAAATTTCATAATTTTATGTCAAGCCGTTGCTGAAATATTCGGCCGTTCCGGTTCTTTTGAGAAACCCTGTATGAATATATCATTATTTGTCACCTGAACTTCAAAAAACATCTAAAAAGGGAAAAGTGGCATGCAAAGGGCTGGTCAAATCGGCAAAAAAACAAGCCGTGCCGGCAAGACCCTCGTACAAACTGTAAGGAGCATCGGGAGTCCTAGCCCCGTTCTGAAACTCCTCCGTCCCCAAAAACTTGTAAAACTGTATCGCCCTGTACAAGGATTTCGGCTCTCTCGTCAATCTGTACAGCAGCAAAAAAACGTAGCCGTTTCCTGCCACTCCGTGGCATATACCGGGCCCTTTTTTCAACAAACCCTTTTCCCAAATCAGATCCGCCATAAGTCTTAAGGAGTTCAGGTATTTTTCCTCTTTGAAGACCAGATAGGCTTTAGCCATCATGTAGGCTGTGCCTCCTGCCCCATGACACCAGTGGACTAGATCGCACTGATGGCCTATTTCGTCGGTGGCCGATGGAAAGTTTCCTAGAAAAATCAGAGTTTCAACTGTCTGCATAGTAAACTACAAGTTTACTTCCTAGACAGTAAAGTGCCACTTTAGCTGCCTAGACAGTGAAGTACCTCTACTACTGTCTAGACCAGTGGTTCCCAACCTTTTACCAGTCATGACCCCTTTTAGATTTGCTTAAAAGGTCGCGACCCCCCATTGAAAATATTGACATCTCCTTATTTAATGTAAAAAAAAAACAATTTGATAGCATTCATCTTATTTATTTGCTATAATGTTAATGAGATGACTGAGCTTGCTCTGCATAACAAGTTTCAAAATTCTTGGTTGAGTGCGTTGAACATCCAGTTTATTATTCGCCTTTGTTTTAATTTGCAAAAGAGTTGAAAAACCACTTTCTCTGATATAGGTCGAAGCAAATGGTACTAGTACCCGCAAAGAAAGCAGAGCGACATTTGGATATTGTCAAGAAGGCCAAATGTCTATGAAATAACTTTCGTTCATTTCTAGATCTTTATTCATAAATTAACTTTTCCAAATTAAAACATATTGTACAGCGTTTCGATCAGGTCAAAGCGGAGTTCATAAACTCTAGTTCCGGTAAAATTTGCATGAAACCGCTTAGCTTGCGATGCGGGCTAAGCTATACGCCCGGTATCGAGCATTGCCATTGCGGAAAATTGCAATGTTAGCATCGATTCCAAATATAAATAGATTCCGAATCGATAAGCCATTCATTACTGATTTTTCATTATCATTGATTCATTATTACTGATTATTCATTATTATTGATTTACTGATTACTGGTTACTGATAACTAATTCATTACTATTTGATTATATATTATATTAAATTATAATGCATTTCGATAACACTTTACTTTATTCCGTAATTGAGTTACTAATTCACGAGTTGCTGCCAAAAAGTGTACCGTCCTCCCGACTTTGATCCTGCTGGTCAACCCCATGTTAGATGTCATAATGTAAGTGCTGTTTTTCCATGTTCTATCTGAATTGTTGTTTTGTGTTGTGTTCCGGTTGGTAATTCACTATGGTTTGTCTCTGCTACTTTGCCATGTGGCACGCATTTATTCACGACTTTCCCATTAAATCAATAAATGTTAATTTCATACGAAAACTATCTTCTCTTCATTTGGGGGTGAATATGGTTGGGTGGTAAAATGATCAAAATCCTCTCATCAAGCCAAGCGAGTAGCCAAGTTGCGATCCATAGGAGGGCAACATCTGAGTTGCGACATGTGGTGGACACGCCGTTTGCCAAATAATCTACCAAAACCATCTGAGTTGCGACAATATGAACAATACATGGCACACCAAAATTCAGTCAACGTTTTTTCCTGGAATAGGACACGTGCTGTGGAATCATTTTTGAGATTTAAAAATTCATCTTGCAATTCATCAGGAACTTCGGCAATATCTAACGAGGCATGGAATGGGTTCCTTACTACTGCAGCTTCTTGGTCAGACAGCTCGGGAAAATAACGTTGAATTTCATTTTCAAGGGATTTAAGGTGATAATCAATTCGCTTTTTTAGATCCCCCGCAATTCCTGCCTCTGATACTTCAACCATGGTGCTCAGGTTTTCAAACATTGCAAAGTTTTCAAGATTTACTTTACGTCGCCAGTTTCTAATCTTGGACACAAATGCTTGGAGATTATCTTTAAAATATATAAGTTTTTGATGTTTTAAGCGACTTTCACATCGTGTGAATAAGTCCAAGTCCTTTGAAACATGTTCGGGATGCTTTGTTTCCAAGTGACGTTTTAGCTTTGAGGGTTTCAATTGTTTCATAGATTCAGCACTGAAAACTGCATTGCATAAAACACATTGCAGCTTCTGTATTGCATCACATTGCATTATTACTAACAGTTGAAAATCCAAACTTTAAATACTCCTCGGAGTATTTTCTTCATCTTCTATCACCTTGTATGTATAAATTGTATAATGTTATTTTTTACTCACCAAACTATTCAGAAACAAAACAATAATAAATAAAACCACTTATTATACCGCGTAATGTTTTACAAGTTAGTCTGAGCTCCGAATACCAAATTCCAAACAACACCTGTGAATCCCTCGTGTTGATATTGCAATGCGCCTGCGGACTGGCTAATGGGCGGAGAAAAAGCGAGAAGCGCTGTTGCCAAATGTAGAAACATTTACCTAAACATTTTGCAATGTTGTTGAAACTTGCACTGGTCGAAATTTTTGGGCCTAAGGGCGACCCCCCCATAAGTACATCGCGACCCACCGGTTGAGAATCACTGGTCTAGACAGTGAAGTTCCACTTTTACTACCCAGACAGTGAAGTACCACCTCTGGAAGTTATGATTTTTTAACGAATGTCAGTAAAATATAGTAACATGTTCATTTTTATACCTAGACCTATATACAGACACTGGTATAACTAATTTACTCAAAGTTAAGAAAAAAAAAATGTGTTCAACTGGTTCAACATCACTAAAGAAATTCATGTTCATGATCAAAACATTCCATAATAGTTGACTACAATGTATTTTGAGGGCGAATTTTCAGAAAATTCTTCAAATTTTTCAAATATTTTCCTTTGAAATTAAAAAATTCCTGAGGTAAGGAAAAAGCTTCCTAGAATAATTAATGAATTTGTTACAAATTAAATTTGCTACCAGTAGAAATCTAGGAAATTATAAATTATTATTATTATTGCAGGAACTCCAATGCCTTGACAATAAAGGAATATTACTTTCTAGACTGTAGAGAAATTTGACTGCCTAGGCAGTAAACATGTCTTTAATGACCAGTTTATGAGCACTATAAGAAAATAGTATGTTCAATTTGGCAGTAAAGTATGAATAAGTTTTTATGTAGCAGTGCAGCCAAGGCAATCAATCAACTTTTCTGCTGGTTATATAACTTTGCCTCCACAGTGAAAAACTATTGTTTGGATAGTGGAAGTTGTAAAGTTGAAGTAAATGTACTACTTTGGTGATGTATAGAACTGCTCAATGTCAATTTTTTTTTTCATTCAAAAACCAGAAAATAAGCCCTTTGCAGCCTCAATTCATAATAGTTTGACATATCTTATTCAACCATTGGTGGAAAAAGCACAATTGCTAGAAGGTAGGTACTAATGCTATTCAGGATATTGAGGATCCAAAAACATTGCTCATACCTTCCTTATCCTGTATACTGAGCAGAAAATCAATGCACCTCTTGATATCCACTGCATCAAGTGCATTGGCATCCAAATACCCAGGTACTGACATCAAAACTTGCAGAATTGAACACAAACCATGAGCAGCTCCTAAATATTCAACTTGGTAGTAAGAATACATCAGAGGACAAGGAGATTGATGGCTTTGAGAATAATCTCTGCCTGATTTCATAATTATTTTGCAAATTTCATAAATATCCTGCTTCTGTATTGGTGTATCAGTTTCTTTTGACAGCCAAAGTGCTCCCAATACATAGCCTGAAACAGAATAAATAAGCCATACCTTGACCAATGGTATTTTGATGGGATTTATACCAGCTCTACCAACAAACAGTTCATCTGAGCCACAGTCTAGGAACTTGGCTTCCTTACAAATTTTGGCAGCATCATAATACAACTGTCTGAATTGACTGCTCTGAGGATCATCACCAACAGCTTTGTATATTACAGCTGCTACAGCATAGATGCCACAGTTCCCTAATATGAAGGAAGGTACTTCTTTGGTCCTGGTAGCTGCACAAGAAGCTACATTTATAGCTGGCTTCAAGTATTCTATACCTTTATTCAAATATTCTCTCTTGCTCATGGATAATGTGGGTATTTTACAGAGGTGGTAGAACATGTAAGCAATGCCAGCAGTGCCCAAATAAATGCCATCACCTGCGTTCTTTTCAGTTGGTTTCACGCCTTGTACGATTTTCGTGACTATATCAGTTAGATTAGCGATTATTTCTACTGCTGGAACTTGTGGTAAAGGGGATTCTTCATCATAATCTGGTTTGGGGTTTGGGAAATGACGAATTCGGTAAGATGCCATACTTCCAAATTGCTTTTGAAGTCCACTAGTAAAAGTCCTCAGTTCTTTCAGCATTCAGAAATAACATAATTAAGCCAGAATTACAAGGAATGAGAAATGCTTGAATCTCTTTAATTTGCTATAAAATTTTAAAAAATTGACAACTGTAAAACACATTGTTGCCAACGGTGAACGGGATCTCAGTTGAGAAGAAGAAAATTTAGGCTACGTTCATGAATTCACGACAAATGACAAACCGTGGTCCAAATTCATTGTGGTCCAACCTCCCGCATAGTGTCAAATTGTCAATGTCAATGATGAAAAGTCGTCATTCAATAAACATTTGTCATTTTAAATTCTCAAAATTTTGCTTGTGATGTGAGCCGTGCTGTAGTTGTCTTTGTTCATGTCATGATGTAAACAGAGAAGGTCATTAAAAAAATCAAGTTCAGCAGGTAGAGTAGAGCAAGTATAAACGAACAGCCTGAGGTGAAGTCTACAGAAATTTTTGATTTGTGACTTGTGAGTGACCCGAGTGACCGAAAGATGAAAAAAGTATAAAGTAGATTTAAATTTAGAAAAATGTCTGGCTCACTTACAGGACTCATCACTCATACGAGAAGAATTCAGATCGTGTACAAAAAGGCACTAAGATCCCTTGAAGACTGGTATGACAGGAGGTAAGTTGAGTATTTAAAAAAAAAAGGTTATATAATTAAACATTTCTCTGTATGGCAGAGAAGTATACAGATATCATGCCGTATTAATGAGGCAAAGATTCGAGGAAGTCGTATCTGTTAATGATCCCAGAATTGCAAAGGACATGCTATCCAAAATAGAGGCTGAACTGTTCGAGAACCAACACTGGCACCCAAGGAAATGTAAATACAAGGCAAGGTAGTATGAACCCTGTTCAAACTTTGTCTTTCTCTCATCTTTCAGTCCCTGAATCTCCAGGAGGTGTTGCCTATGGCAGAGAAGTAATACCTCCAGACTGGGTCGTAGATCATTGGCACCCATTGGAAAAAGCACAATATCCAGAGTATTTTGCAAGACGTGAAGAAAGAAAGAAAGAATATGTCAAACATTGGGCACAAAAATATGGAACATCTTCATATGTCCCTCATTAAGAGGAACACAATCATGTGAATGAATAAGAGTAGTCCTACTGTTTACTGTTAATAAACTAATCTCTAAGAACATCTTGCATAATTCTATTATTGGTGCTTACAAATTTGAAACTGACTGAGAATAAGTATATATAATGATAGGTTTAATGCCCTTTAATGAGTATATATATTTTATATTTCAACAATGAAGAATGATGGCAAAGTTCCACCGGGAAGCAGAGATAAGTTACAACTTATCTCTGCTGGAAGTAAAGTATTAGTTGGTGTTAGTATTACATATATGCAAGACTGGTACCTTTGGCATGATAATACACTACACTGTTTCTTACCACTAACCAAACCGATTTTTTTAACGCCTCGACCTCGACACGTGTTTCGCTAACTATGTTAGCATCTTCAGGAGAAGATTAAAACAGTGTAGTGTAAAAAAGTACACATTAATTTTAATTCTTTGTGGGAGCTGGGTCCATAATCCTTGATTCTTGGAAATCGGAAATCCTTGGGGACCAAAACATTGGCAAATGACAACACTGTATCTGTGCACGAATTCGTTTTACCCATGTTTTGCCCAATAATCTTCCACGACCAATCCGCACAATTCTAGCTAATTTAGCGGTCAATTCGAATTTGTCAGTAGGCCAACAGGCATAGAGGTGTTATCCGAACGAGCGCTTCACGCAGAAAACAGTGATGATGATGATAGCAAATAACTATAAGCTTCTATAATAAACGCCTACATAGATTTCTTTTTCTTCAAATCATCACTTCGAAAAAGATAGTGGTAGTAGTCAAAGACCAAGACCAATCAACCCTGTGGTTAAACCTCCGTTGTGCTTGTTGCTGAGTTGTGACGTTCGCGACTCAACTTTTTACGTTTTCCAATTTTTCCATAAAAATCTCAGCTTCCTGCGATCCTGCGTTCCCCTATATTCTGCTAAAATGACATCAAATTTTACGTAATGGAAATTCTGATTTCTTATTGGTCTGATCGTTCACACACAGATGTCTGGGGAAAAAGAATCCTTGCCTGTCTTGCTCTCTCTGTCTACGTACACTGTTCATCTCGCTCTTGCTCTTGCATCTTCATCGATTGTCAAATCACCGAATCACCGTGTGTGTTTTCTCAATTTCTCATAGTTTTTCGACTTTTGTTTGAGCTTTGAGCTTTGAGTTGAAATTACAGTAAAAGTGAAGTTTAATTCCTTATTCACTAGCTAACTTGATAACCGTTATTATATTTTGTGTTACTTGTTACTATATTAAAGTACAAGTTCTAAAAAATGAGCGACAAGAAAGGTAAGAAAATTCGTTGATGAAATAGGAAGATGGTGGATACTGAGAATCACTGAAATAATGTTCTTCTGCAATCTGGCTTAATCGTTATCCAGTGAAAACGAATTGTCAATTCAGGTCTCTTTGCGGAGGAAGAAGTTGGGCGACATTCATCAAAATTGCATAATTACATGCAGGATGTTCGAATCAATACTAACAGTTAGGTTATCTCTCTCTTACTGGGTAACCTACATACATTTACCAAATGCTCTAACTCATTCTATCTATCCCTGGTTCTTTAGTAGCCTTGCCCTACATTTACCACTGCAGTATTAGGGATTTTTTTCAATACTCAAGTTAAGCAGGGCGAGTTTATCATGTGTCTTATATGTTACTTGCAGCACCTACTGAAGGAGGAAGAGCTATTCTGCGGAGGATGTGGACATCGAAAAAAACAGTACCTATTTATTTTCATGTGTTTATACAGTGGCTGATATGCTTGTTGGTTAAATACCTGCTCAACGAATTTACCTTCACTAGATTTTTTTGGTTGGGATTTGGTTGTAACTCTGCTTTCATTCTATTTCTGTATCTACATTGAACAGATGGCTTTCCTTCCTCAAATGAACCCACTACCTGCAATAACAGATTTAGCAAGTGATTGGAGCGCTATTTTGGGATATTTATATTACAATACATATTTAGAGATGTGAGCCAAACATGCTGATGAATAGGGAAGCTAGCTTTGAATTTTAAAAATGTTCAAATCTGTTCCACAAGTATCCCCAGTTAAAAAAGTACACATAATTATTCTGATAATTTTTTTTACAAAACATCAAATCTTGCCAGTTGACTGAGAAAAAGCTCTATTATTTCAATCATAATAATTATTGTCATTAAATTACTTGAAATTCATGATTTAAGCCAAAATTCATGTGGACACAGAATATTCAGATTCCAGTTTTCCAATTACTGAATGTATTGATCCAGGTAAATTCATCCTTGACCTAAATAGACTTACATCAACTCTCCACCAGATGTCTTGGTCCACAACTGAATGAACAATAAAATAGAAGGTACTTGATTTATTGCAAATCCTGCAAATATTTTGGTCATATGTTATTTTCTATGATTTTCAACCTTTTCCATTTTCTGAACCATCATCCTAGAGAAAAACAAACCTCCCAATTCAAGAATGAATGTAGAGTTGCAACAGTTACTGTAGCTGAAGATGTACAAATTTTATCAGTGGTCCGAGACTTAGACTTTCTGGTCTATTAAGAATTCACTGCATGAAAATCAAAAAATATGTAACAATATGGGTTTTTGAGAACATATTTTACTATTACAACTCCAATCTCTGCTGACCGCATAGTCCATATTAGTAGAGTGCCAAACAAAACGTAAGTCGCTTAGATCAAAAGTTGGTGGGAAATCGGTGGTAAAAACTGTGACATGGGTAGAATTGTTACCTACCATCTCCAGATCATGGATCCACTTGTTGTCAAGAAATCGTCCTGTGCGTTTGGGGGGTAGGGGGTAATTTATAAAGAAATATGGATTTTTTTATTCCTGGAAAATATTGATGGGTTCCAGAACTTCCACCCTGTTGAATCTTGATTTCGTGTGACAAGTAGAACAAATTATAGAAAATTTTGAAATACACCAATTACATTATGATATATGAGAAAATCATATTTCAAACGGCTATAACTCGAAACTTGTAAATTTTAATTAAATTGCTTTTCATATACCTCGCATTATCTCAGTAACTACAACGTTTATCGCTAAAATACTTCAAATAATGTCGATGCGCCTGTTTCAAGATGCGAATGGTTCTTCGACTTTGAAAATCGAAGCATAAATAAGGAAGATATTGGGAAAATCATAATCCAATGCAGGTAGTACGAAGGACCGCGATTCGCCGCTTTCATACCCCGATTCTCCCCGCAACGCCCGCGGTCCACCTAGTACGATCACCGTAAATATGAATTACTGAGTGTTACAGAATAGTACGATCTTGGATATCACGGGAGAAATGAAATCGATCGCTATTTTCCAAGTTAACAGAAATTTCTTTTAACTTGCTGTTGGATTGGAAGTGACCTCAATTTATTTTATGAATGATCTCGAAAGTACATTTTTTATCCATCAGAGTAAAATGTCACCCACCTCATTTATTAACAAATTGAGATATATTGAAACAAAACATGATGCATATAATATTGAAATAAAATAAGATATCCTTGTGGAAACTTGAAAAAAACATTATTTGATACCTATTCAATTCCAAAGTTGTAAATATTTTTATACGATACAGTGTCTACAAGAATACAAAGCTTTGATAACTTTTTTCGATCATGTCTCTTGATTAATAACGTGATTTGGTGTGAGTTTTTTGAATTTCGAATTAGCGAATATTATACCTTGACATCAGATACTCAACACCTTTGAATCAACTGAATCAACTTTATCCTGTATAAGGCAACTAATTTAAAAAAAGTTTTTTCGGTATCATATCCTTGTAAGCCTTGACATCCATATTTTTGATTTGTTTATAATCTGGAATATCTCTCATATCTTGCTAAATATCTAAAAAAAAAAAATTGTGTATCTGATGGGTCATATCTGATGCATACAAAGTCAGGGGAGTTATCTTCTGTAATTTCACTTTGTTCTTTGTTCTATATATGTGTATGAATCAGATAAATTTTTATCACTTTTGGGATCACAATATACGACTCATTAGAAGGTTTTGATTTATTTGATAATTTCTATCTCCTTGTCGTAGTGCTTTCTGATTTCTTCGATAAATTCATTTTACTTGATATTTTGGGATTTTCTCTCCTCGTTTCTTTGGACGTTTCGGGAACGAATCTGCTCCCGTTCTCAACATGAAAATGCAAAATATTCTTCTTCGAGTTATAGCCGTTTGAAATATGATTTTCTCATATATCATAATGAAATTAGTAAATTTCAAAATTTTCTATAATTTGCTCTACTTGTCACACGAAATCAAGATTCAACAGGGTGGAAGTTCTGAAACCCATCAATATTTTCCACGAATAAAAAAAATCCATATTTTTTATAAATTACCCCCTACCCCCCAAACGCACAGGACGATTTCTTGACAAGTGGATTCATGATCTGGAGATGGTAGGTAACAAGTCTAGCCATGTCACAGCTTTTTACCTCCGATTTCCCACGGGGTGAGATACCTATTTATGAAACATTTGGAATTGGGTAAGGAATAAGGATATATCTAAAACAAAGCAAAAATGTAAGGCATGTTTTGTTATTCCAAATTGGCAGAATTATGAATTGTGTAGTTCTACCCAAGTTGATTACATAATATTGAACAAGATTCCTTTTATGGAAGCTGTAACATATGTCAAGGTATCCGATTCACACATGATTTAAATGAAGAAAATATCACACATTTTGTTGCAATGGATCCACTTTTTCAAATTCAAATTTATCTGGAATCTTTGAGTGATAAATGATTAATATGGAAGTTGTATGGACACTGAAAATTCTCTGGAAACCATTGATCATCCTACATTTTCATATTAGATGAATATTTATCAATCGGTAATTATGCACAATACAGTATACAGGGTGTCTCTGGTTTCGATAATCAATAGTACAAATGAAAAACGTGAGACACTCTGAGATTACTCAATTTGATTTGCTCTAAATGATGAATAAAATTCAGATTTCGATAATTATTGTTACGTATTGTTTGTTATGTGTGGGAGTAAATTTTCTGGATTCACCCGGTGTTTTGCTACCATGTTGGCTATACTGCTGCAGCACATCTACGTCGCTAATACTATTTGGAAAACGAATCTTTACCTATCGAATGGTGAGAAAAAATGGATTGCTTTTCCCAGAAATGAATAGACAATTCTTCCAAAAAGGAATTATTTTGTTATCATTTTATTTTGGACATGCATTTTGGGGAAAGCTTTCCTTCTTTTGTAGGTATTTTCCAGAAATTTTTAGCATTTGATAGGTACAGAGTATTTTGCAATACAGGTCGACGGGGTTTTTGTATTTATAATGTTTGAATTATTTATTATTACTACTAATATGTGATTAATATATAGAATAATGTAACCCTCCACTAGAAATATTATCCCAGAATTTATGATGTTGGGAGAAACAAAAATCAAACTTTTACACTCTAAACTGATGAAACAATCATATATTATCAGACATTTATTCTGCCTGACATCATAAATACATTACAGAAAGTGATTCAAGAAGAAATATTTCTTTCAAATCACATCAAATTTTCATCTTGAATTACAAAACATTGCATGCTATAGTTTGTAGAATATAAAGCATGTAGATTTCTTTAAGCTCTCAAATCAATCATAAAAAAAGAAAAAAATCAGTTACAGAATCTTTGCAAACTAATTTAACTTTTTTATTTATTTTTTACAGCTCAATTGAAAACTTGCTTCATGTTTCAGCAACATATAATAATGAGGTTATAATTTTATATCTATAAATTTCAAAATTAAATAAAAATAGTTGAAACCTCACAGTGATTAATGTATAATTTTTTAGCATGCTATTTATTTTTTAAGCAACGAAGATGTTTCAGTTCATAAACATTACTGTATAATAAAAGGTTTTGAATATTTGAAGAACTGGAATACATTTTCGTGTTTTGTTTTTATTTTGCATGCTTAAATTAAGGGAAAAGATTTATTTTGCAGACGATCATTTCTGAGTAATTGAATTAAGTTTATTGTGTATATTTATTGATAAAATTGATGAGATTTTTTTTATGAGCATAATAAATCTTTAATTCGCCCACTGCACGTATTAATGATAGAAAATAAATTTAATCCCCTATTAATATGAATATAAATAAGAATAACAATATTTTTTGAATGTATACAATTAGGGTATTTTGTGATATATATTCCTCAGTTGGTATACCTTTTCCATAAATGTTTATATTCATAAAAAGACGCAATTTGAATTATTCCTCACTTTTTAAACTATCAAATCACAACAGGGTGTTTCAATTACCTTGTTCTTGTTATTATTCTAACATTATTTTTCAAATGAGACTCCAAAATAAGAAAATAACCCTGTTGATCATGGTTTCTCTACACCTTCAGTGATCTTAAAGGAGTTTTTGTTAATGTGGACTACCATTCTGAAGTCCATAGGTGGGATTGGTGCCAATTTTATCATCGAATTTGGCACGCGCACCACCATTTTGTTGAAACACCCTGTATTTTTCTATTCACCTCAACGATATTTTGCAAATTTTTGAACATATTTTTTTTTTCAATTACACTCACCAATAACCGGCTATTTGGGATAACTGCAATTGTCAATTAAAAGTTGTAGACCTTAATCACTACATTTTTAAAACACCTTATGTTAAAATGAATTTCAAATCGCTTTTTCTGAATTTATATGGCATAGATATATAAAATATCGTGGGCGTACAAGCAGAATCATGTAAGTCCAGAAAATAATATAAGGAGAAAAATGCAATTGAATATTCGAATCAACCTGTAAAATTATAACGAAATTGACTTGAGTGGATTTTCATTGACTATATCTCCGGAAACAAACACAAAATGGACTTGAATGTTTATTTGCCTGGAGCGTTACGCTAATATGGACTTATGTGTGATAAATTCCTCATTCCCGAAAACAGTGGACTTACAGGGTTCTGCTTGTACTCCCACGAATAAATTTGTTTGGCTATAAAAGGGGTAAGTACATCAAAATAATGTGAATAAATAACTACTGGAGAATGAAGCAAACATTTTGAAAGTTTTCGCGTTTTTACTGGAGTTCTATTGAATGCCGCTATCCCAAATATCCGATTTGTGATTTTGACGGGCGATATTAACCGGTTTCTTACCAATAACTGAGAACCTTTTTTGAGTTTGTTTTGCATCAGTTCGTCCTGTGTATGAATTGTAAATAAAGTCCGGGAATTTGTTGAATTTCCAGCTATTGGCGGTGCAGGCCCTCCTCAGTCATCGGGGCCGTCTTATACCCCCCAGCCCCCCCAGCAGGCTAATCCCCCAATGCCTACCACACAACCATATGGAGGTAATTATTCTCAAAAAATAATAAAAAAAAGTTATTAGCAGCGTTAACGTTATTTGATTGTTCAAATACCCCTGAAATGAACCAAAAACGCTCACACTTTGCTCACACCACAGATATCATTATATTCATGTTTTTGTCACACCACAGCTTTCTCACTTTTTGCTTTGATCACCGTGGTTATACAGTGTCATTCATAAAGTCGGCATCATATGGGAAAAACTTTTATTAATGCCTCATTTTGGAATTCGAGTTGGACGCCAAGTTTTGCTTCAAAAAAGATGGGAAATGGCCTACTCAATCAGGGTCACGTGACTTTCGCTACATGTCAAAAGTGACATTTTTTCAAATTAATCGCTGACAGTAGGCTCATTCGTTCGAATATCGAAAAAGTTCACTTGAAAAAGTTGTTTCTATTCCAATTTTACACGTGATTCTCGAATTTGATCTTTCTATTGCAACTTTTAGATTTTGATTTTTCTTTTAATTTTTCGAAATTTCTGTAATATTTGAAGAATTGTTAATTCCACGAAACTACTTCATGCCAGTAGCTTTTTCATGCTACTTACTTCCAATTACTCATTATCACTGATTATGGACAGAAATATGATTTTCTTCAGAAAATGATAATACCCGCTTCCAAATTCTGTTATGTTTGATGCAAAGTTGATATATCGTCAAGCATTTAGAAACAAAATTCATTTAAACTGATCTTTTCAGTACTGAAAAAATGAATTTGGATGAATTTCGTTTCTAAATGCTCGACTCAAACATAACAGAATTTTTATGTTATGTTTGCATCAAACATAACAGAATTTTGAAGCGGAGATTATCATTTTCTGAAGAAAATCATATTTTTGTCGATAATTAGTGATAATTAGTAATTGTTAGTTAGTAGCATGATGAAACTACTGGTATGAAGTAGTTTTATCGAATTTACAATTTTTTTAATATTACAGATATTTCGAAAATTTTTAAAAAATATCGAAATCTGAAAAATGTAATAGAACGATAAAATCCGAGTCACATATGTAAAATTTAAATAGAAACAACTTTCTCAAGTAAACTTTTCCGATATTCGAACAAATAAGCCTACTTTCAGCGATTAATTTGAAAAAATGACACTTTTGACATGTAGCGAAAGTCACGTGACCCCGATTGAGTAGGCCATTTCTAATCTTTTTTGAAGCAAAACTCAACGTCCAACTCGAATTTCAAAATAAGTCATTAATAAAAGTTTTTCCCATATGATGCCGACTTTATGAATGACACTGTATATACTATCTAGACCGCTCTATGTCATATCCCTGAGACTGGCCTACCTGAGACCCTGAAACCGATTCTCCTCAATGCGCAGTAACCTCCAAACCATTGATAATCGTGCACAAGCAGACGTCATCTACACCGACTTCTCCAAAGCCTTCGACAGACTTGACCACGGAATTTTAATAAACAAACAAATCATTTGGCTCATCTCTCTCTCTAGTTAACCTATTCAAATCATACCTCACTAATCGTAAACAATATGTCCAGTTGAACGGCTACAAGTCTGTCGAATATCTTGCAACATCTGGCGTACCACAAGGCTCCAATCTGGGGCCACTACTTTTCAACATTTTCATTAACGACATTGGTAATGTTATTGACGTTTAATCATCATATTGACTGAAGTTCCCATTCATAATTCAACACATGACAAGTTTGCTATGGTCTGCCCCTACTTACGAAATCGTGGCGACAAAATTCTTAAAATATATGAAATTGAAAGGTATTTTAGAGATGATTCTTTTCAAGAAATAAAAAAAATCAGTCCACTCGCCTATTTTTTCGTAAATCATCAATTTTTGTGGAAGTTTTGTCCACATAGGTAGACCTAGTTTGACATCCCCTTCCAATAACAACCAATTTGTGTATTGCAGTCATGCCTGGTATTCCGACAGGAAACCCTTACGTGATTCCCGGACAGACCCAGATTTATCCACAGGGTCCTCCACCGACATATGACCAAGCATTGACCCATCCAGCTGCAATCGTTGGACAACACGTAAGCAAGCTAAATAAATGTTTTATGGAAGTAGGTATTTTTTCATTTGGTATAATTTTCTCCAGATGTATCCTCCTGGAACCATGTACGCAGCTGGGTACCCTACTTATCTAGGGTATCCGACATACGCCCCAATGCAGTATTATCCTTCTCTAGGTGCCTATTCGTATGCTATGCAACCAGCACAACTCAGGCCCACCATTATGATACCAGTAAGTGAAAGAAATATTTGAATGTTGCTATTTTCTAGAGGCGCCCTGAATATCCTAATTTCGACGAGAAAAATAGTATTATATTAATTTTCAGGTTTATCGGACGAGAAATAAAGAACTTGTCCGCCATCTTGTAGACACCATTTTGTATTTTTCTTTAACAAAAGTGTCAAATTGCATTATTACCCAAACTATATGAGTCCTGTAGATGTAAGGTCCCCCTTAAACACACCTGGAAAAAATTCCAGGTTGCATTGCCAACACATCCGGGTTTTTGTGAGGATTTCAATTTTTTTTTCACGTTTTTGTTTTTTTAATAGTCATTTATGTACCAAGGACGAAACACTGTCTATAATAGTCGAGTCTGATGAACCTATGACGTCAAAACATAATGTACTTTTATTAAACATGAAAAGTAACCTATTGCCAACAAAAATAGAAACAAACAAAACAAACATTCTTATTCAAAAATAATCATTCCTAATTCTCAATTCAAAAATATTCACAAATATCACAAAATTCAGTTACATAGGTACCTTTAAGATTTGAGTATATAAAAAACAGGAATGAACAGTAAAAATGAACAACAAAAATACAAAACAATGATGGAAGTAAGATATGGTGCGCGTATTCGGCCATTATTACGTATTGAAAACTTGAGAAAAATCACTCGACCGCCTACTATGATTTCTCTACGTCACAACGAGCGAGACGTTGATTCTACATTTTCCCGCCAGACGGTGATGCTGCTATTGCTGCTGTGACGAGTGGAAATAAAATGGCAAATAGCATTTTAGGTACGCGGAACATATGTAACAGTGGGATTATTTAACTCTGAATTCGAAAAATCTGCGACAATTTCAAAACTGACAGATTTCATGATTGTGCAATGTCGCCATCTATTAGAAGATAGACGGAATCATTACTCTCGCTGCTCTCGAGAGGTCGAGTAAAATTTCTGAAACCAAAGAGCATCAGTAATTACATCAAATATTACGGTTCCGTCGATCTTCTAATAGATGGCGCATTGCACAATTATGACATCTGTCAGTTTTGAAATTGTCGCAGATTTTTCGAATTCAGAGTCGAATAATCCCAAGGAGAGTACCCACTGTTACAAATGTTCCGCGTACCTAAAATGCCATTTGCCATTTTATTTCCACTTGTCACAGCAGCAATAGCAGCATCACCATCTAGCGGGAAGATGTAGAATCAACGTCTCGCTCGTTGTGACGTAGAGGAATCATAGTAGGCGGTCGAGTGATTTTTCTGAAATTTTCAATACGTAATAATGGCCGAATGCGCGCCCATATCTTACTTCCATCATTTACAAAACAAATGAAAAAAAATGTGCACAAGACTGGCAGAGCATGAATGTTTAAAAAATGATTAAAACTATAATTTGACACATTCCGCATTCCATAAATAAACCACAACCATAGTCACCAGTAGATAACTTCAGTCAAAATTGTTGGTACCGGCCTGAAAGCATCGGTAACCTTGGTTGATTAACATATCCTTTGAAATTTCTGTCGACCTCTTAGTTTAATGTTCATATCATTAATGACCCCTATTAATGATCTTTGTCTATCAATGATTGATTGTAGTTTTGACAACCAAACATATACCACTCCCATTCACAGTTGGCAGGATAACTTACGGAATTTGCATTCAAATATGGATTCCATCGAAAATTTCAATAGGTAAACTTTTCAACGGTTCTGAACCAATTTCAATCCCTAGTTTTATCATGTAGGAATCTATTTCTCATTTTGAATATTTCGACAAATGTCAAATGTCGCTAATGTCCGTGACAAATTCGTTTTCAATCGGCGTCTCCGAGTAGGACTGTAGAGGGTAGCTGGCTTCATTCTGACAGGTTATGAATGTAGTAGTGGTAGAATGATGGAAATAAGTAGATGTCGCATAGTCGGCCATTTTTACGTATTGAAAACTTGAGAAAAATCACTCGACCGCCTACTATGATTTCTCTACGTCACAACGAGCGAGACATTTTCCCGCTAGATGGTGATGCTGCTGTGACGAGTGGAAATAAAATGGTAAATAGCATTTTAGGTACGCGGAACATATGTAACAGTGGGATTATTTAACTCTGAATTCGAAAAATCTGCGGAATTTAAAAATTGACCGATGTTATAATTGCGCAATGTCGCCATCTATCCGAAAACAGCTAAAAACATTGTTCACGGTACTCTCGGGAGGTCGAGAAGAATTTCTGAAACAAATGCGCATCAGTAACTACTTATTTCCATCATTAGTAGTAGTTTTATCATTTATACATTGAAATGTCTCAAATCGAGCTGGATCTTAACCGAAAATATCAGGGAATCTATGGAACATTCTCGGCCACATTTAAAATGATACTATCCTTGGTATCCTTTCTCATATACAACCACCAGGTCAGAACAATATGAAACCGACACCAATGTTACGGTCCTGGATGAATGATGAATTCGCGAGCCAAGTTTTCTTCATTACGCTAGTTGACTAAATAACTAAACTGGGCGTCAATTGAAACGTTAATAGTGAAATTTGGCATCAAGTTTGACTTCTCGTAATTTCTAAAATATTGAACCAATTTTGAATTGCCGCCCAGATTCTGAATGCCTTTTTCATCGTCTTTCGAAACGTTCTTTACAGCTTCTTCTAAGTTGATCAGGACCCGTGATACAGGGTGAAACAAAGTTTCGTGCATTTTGAAAAAAATTTCTCCGCCCCCCCATTTTGTCCGAAGACCACGATGCTCATATTTTATTCGGGCATTTCATAAATAGCAACCATTCCTCGGGACGTTTTCGAGTTTTTTTCCATAAACTACTGTGGTTTCCGAGATTTTCAAATGGACTAATTTCAGAGGAGTTCCATAAATGGATGCTCTTATGCATTTCAGGAAAGCGTTGGAGCAGATATGTATACCAGGTTACTCAAAAACAATCAATAATGTATTACTTCGCAGTCTATGATAAAAGTTGTCTACCTTAGTGAGCAGTAAATCAACACATCTCGTCAACAAAAACAAACAACGATACCTTGTTTCTATAACAACGTATTGTTGAAACAATGTAGGTATGCATAGAGGTTATATCAATTGCCAAATTTCATGAAAACGTCAGTGTAATTCGGTTCCTAAAAAATTCAAAGATGCCTCGTTCAAATCGGGTCGAAATGGAAAATATCATTTGGTAAGATCATTATAGTGATATAAACTATAATTCAGTACAGATAATTATTATTTCAGGTTACGACGATTAGGATATACCCAAACTCATTTAAGTATCATTTTCAATAAGTCAGTCATGACAATAAATAGACTGATTCATCGTTTTGAGGATACAGGTAATCAGGCCATTTAAAAAAAATGCAAAAAAAAATTTTTTTTCGGAAACCACAGTAGTTTTTGGCAAAAACTCGAAAACGTCCCGAGGTATGGTTGCTATTTATGAAATGCCTGAATGAAATATGAGCATCGTGGACTTCCGACAAAATGGGGGGGCGGAGAAATTCTTTTCAAAATGCACGAAACTTTGTTCCACCCTGTATCACGAGTCCTGATCAATTCAGAAGAAGTTGTAAGGAACGGTTCGAAAGACGATGAAAAAGGCATTCAGAATCTGGGCGGCAATTCAAAATTGGTTCAATATTTTAGAAATTACGAGAAGTCAAACTTGATGCCAAAGTTCACTATTAACGTTTCAATTGACGCCCAGTTTATTTACATCGGTTATCCGCCCATTCAAAAGTACTTTTTCCCGCATTCAGAACGGCTACGACGGCGGCGCACGCTTCGACGGGGGCGGCGCTATGGGCGGCCAGCCCGGCGTACTGCCGCCCGCGCCACCCGCCGTGCCGCCCTCTGCTGCCCAGTTGGCAGCCATGGCCGGCCACCAGATGTCGCTCGGCCACAAGAAGAACGCCTTCCTCACGGGATCGGAGGGCGGCTACGCGTTCTGGTAGACGTAGGCGAATCGAAGGTCTGGTTGGTAGGTCGGTTTGTACAAGAGCCGGCTGCAAATGTCGACCGTCATTTGAAAACGAAATGATATACAGGGTGTCCCTGAACAAAGTACCATAAATTCTGCAGGGTGAACTAGAGACCAGAATAGGGCGATTGAAATCAAATTACCTTTATACAAAAATGCACCGTTGAGTCGTGAAAGGGCGATGAAATTAGTAATTTTCCTAACAAGTGCAAAAAGTTATTCTTTCCCGCACGCGACTGCCGTTGACACGAATGACGCGAAGCGTACTGCAAAAATAGTTGCATTGATTTTTATCAAAGAGAATGTGTAATACCTAACTCCCTGGATAAATTGAACTGGTACGACATGTTTTAAATGCACATTCGCTATAGTGAATTGCCCTACGAATTTCAGAGCACTGCGTTTCAAGGATTCCAAAATATTAAAGAAAATCTACAAATGAATTTTCGTATAGAGGTAAATCGGCCTAATGTGATCTCTAGTTCACCCTGTAGAATTTATGGTACGTTATCCTGGGACACCTTGTATATGCCGAAGACATGTAAAAACATTGTACAGGGTGGCGCAAAAGAAACGAAGAGGTTTGAATACTAAATAACCTATTTATTTCAGTGTCTATTCAATTTTTTTTCAAACATACCGTCACATGGGTTTATGTGAACCCTTTTGCGAATATCCAAACGTGCCGTGATTCAAACTGATCAAGTTAGTGGCAAAGCGTCAATGTTCCCGAGAATATTTCGCCCCTCACTAAAGATAATATCCGATGGACCAGTGTAAAACCAACCATGTAGATTGGAATAATTGTAGTGCGAGCACTACATGAGTTAGTTTAACACTGGTCCATCGGATATTATCTTTCGACTAGGGTGAAATATTCTCTGCCACTAACTTAGATCAGACATTTTCCGCTTTTATTTGCTTTTGTTTCAACTCGTTATCACATGACGGAAGTATGTCCGGAATAATAGCAGCAAATAAATCGCTGTGTTCAATTGGTATCGGTTGGCATAATTTTATTCTTATCTCGTTATCAAATCGCGAAATCGATTGAAAATTTCCGCACGGGAAAGTGTAATGTTTCAATCATTCTGCTCAGGATAGTGATTAGCACAGGTGCCGTTCAATAAACTACAATGTTTTTGCATCCCTTTGGGACATATATCATTTTTTTATCAGATGACGATCGAAATTTGCAGCTGGCTATATGACTAGTTGTTTTGGTTTGTGGGTGGGACTCCTCCGAAGATGAGAGAAGGAAGTTTTTCGGTCTTGTATTGTTGTGAGAGTCTCTTGGAATGTTTGCAAATTTACTCTATATTGGGTGACACGTTATAGGAAGTAGTTGCTTTTTATTTTTTTCCGTGGACCTCGTATTAACGAGTAAGTTTAATGTTCATGAAATCGTTCATTAATGACCCCTATTAATGATCAATTTGTCTATTAATGCACGATTGTTTTATAGGCAACCAAACATACACCGCGTGCATTCATTGTTTCTGCTATAACTGCATCTGCATTTAAATCGAAAATATGGATTTCATTGAAGATTTTCCGTTAACGGGTTCGCCTTTCCAAGTTTCTGACACGATTTTAATCCCTGTTTTCTAACACAAGGAATTTATTTTCTATGTTGATCATTTCGACAAATGTCAAATGTCACCAATGTCAGTAACAAGGCTACTGGGTGATTCTTAGTAGTTTCCGGATGAATGATGAATTCGCCAACCAATTTTTCTTCATTGCAGGGGAAATGAGAAATATAGTCGACGAAGAAATGTTGTAACCAACTTGTATATTAAAAAGCGAATAATGATCTTCGCTTCGCTCGCACGTTAAAATATCTCGATCATTAATCGCCCTCATTAATACACTAGTTGGTTAAATAACTATTATCTACTGAAAAGTAAGCGTTTGCTCCTTCATTGAAGGACACAGCCTTGTCAATTTACTCCCAAGGGAGGAACGAAATTATTACCTCCCGTGGGGAGGTTAGAGATATACGTATTTATAATTCCAGAATTACGTCATTTGACACTTTTGACAGGTTGTTGGAGGGCAAACATTGTATTTTGTCATATGAAACCAGAAGTATTTTGTTCGGTGAATCCGTTATTGTACAGGGTGTCCCGAAATTACATAGAAAGATTTCCGAAACGCCACCTAATAAAATGAAAGAATTAAGTTTTCCATGCCCAATGCGGTGAACATGAAATCATTCCAAAGGTTCATTCAGGAGTGTATAATACAGGGTGGGACAATTTAATCTCGGATTATAAAAATCTACACCGTTTCACAAAAAAAGGCTCCTTGGTTTCGTATCGATCATATGAATCATTTTCGAGTGAAATCGATTTAAATTGTTAACACTCATATCTTATGCATAACGTTGCCAATTTTCAAATCATAGTGGCTATGAAAAAATCAACTACTTTATCTTCACCAAACGATCTCATAGAAGCACGTAAAATAGAAAAATGAGGTTGAAAAAATACTTCAATTTCTGTGAATTTTTTTCCATTGCCACTACGACTAATTGCAATGTTATGCATAATATCTGGGATGTAACAATATTTTTGAATCGCTTTTACTCGACAATGATACGTTACTGAACAAAAGTCTCTTATTGTCGAAAAATATGCATACAAAAAATTTTGAACAATATTTAATGTAGTCCCACCCTGTATTATACACCCCTGAGTGAAATTTCTTGTACGAAATTGCATCTTTTTATCAGAAATATTATCTTCATGCCCCCTCTCGTGACACCCTGTATTCATTTTCCATATTTCCCAGAATATGGGCAGTTTTGAACGATTTTAGAATGATTTTCGTGTAAATTCCCTGTACATTTTCTCAAATACTGAAGATATATCTGTTGATTCGAGAAATAAAAATCATCAGCAAGGCTGTTCCTAACTTAAAAGTTTAGAATGATACTTGATAACGTGTCACTCGGTGTTTTTTAAAGTGGGGTTAATCTTTTCACATAGAACTGCGAAAACCAAGCGAATTTTTGAAATCACTAAAATAACGGCCAAAGTAAATAACCTACAAAAGATCTGCAAAACGCTCAAAAAGTCGTGCATGATATCTGGGTAATAAAACAACAAAAAAACAACCAACATAAAAAATGAGAAACATTTTTGTCGACTTGAATGTATATGTATTTGATGTGCCGTTATTTTTTGGAAATTCAAAAAAATTGTATGTGGAAGTATATTTTGTTTTGAACGGACAATCTCCAAATTAAAAAACAACCAACATTCATTATTCATTTCAATTTTAAGGGCTGTTCCAATGACCTCAGTGATGAAAGTAAAAACGCGTTTCATCCTATACTTTCTTGACCCCAGAAGAGAAGTTTATCACTTGAATTGCCCTTTTTTAAAATGAAATGTAAGAACAATTTCGAAATATTGGGCGCTGACATTCCAATATTGGAAATTCTTATTGCAGTACGAGACTTTTATGTTTACAATAATTATTATTCTTCCAAAACTTCTCTCATGAAAAAATGTAAAAAAAAACTAATCAGTAAACTTGATTCTTACTCATAAAATGAACACTACAATACAGGGTGATCCACGGTGGATGGCCTATTAGAAGTATCTGGGGAACGAAAAGACAGAGCATTCTGAAAATTGGGATGCTTTGATAATTGAACATTCTCTATCAGTCTAAAATATTTTCATCCATACACTGTTGCCACTTTTATCAAAAACAACTAGCAACTTTGTTTTTTCAAATGGAACACCCTGTATTTTATTGCATTTTTAGATTCTTTCTGAAGAGCTGATTGCATCAATTATCACACTTGGGGTCTAGCAGGAATGATTACAGAGATATAGGGTGTTCAAAAGCGAGATTTTTCAATTTTTGGATTTTTTTGTGTCGAAACTATTCATTATCGATCAAAACGGCTTACATGTCCCTATCTTTACTTTTGATTCACTATCTACTGGAATTTAATTGGAAAAAATACAGGGTGCTTCAAGATTCTGAATTCTGATCACCCTGTATCTGTTCCAAATAAATGTCAGTAGATAGTAAATCGAAAGTTAAGATAGGGACATGTAAGCCGTTTTGATCGATAATGAATAGTTTCACACAAAAAAAATCCCAAAATTGAAAAATCTCGATTTTGAACACCCTATATCTCTGTAATCATTCCTTCTAGACCCCAAGTGTGATACATTGATGAAATCAGCTCTTCAGGAAGAATCTTAAAATGCAATAAAATACAGGGTGCTCCATTTAAAATAACGAAGTTGCTAGTTGTATCTGATAGAAGTGGCAACACTGTATCGATGAAAATATTTTAGATGGATAGAGAATGTTCAATTATCAAAGCATTCCAATTTTCAGAATAATCTGTCTTTTCGTTCTCCAGATACTTCTAATAGGCCATCCACCGTGGGCCACCCTGTATATTATTCCGTTGTCTACTCATAGGGACATACGAATTGGTTTTTCTTGAAGGAGGAGTACCTTAAACAAGGACAGATATCCCGAAAGTGTATCTTTAGTTTCGAATTACACTTCTGGGTCTAAGAATCTAGTCCTAGTTGATTGTTTTTTCTAATTTTTTTATTTAACTTTGTCAAACGATTATTTGTACAGGTTGAGAAATATTCTCTAGCAGACAAAATGGGTGAGAAAACAGCATTTTTTTTACAATTCACAGGGTGTTTCTCAAGTAATACATCACTTACATCAAACATATTCCAACTGACTTTTTTTCAAAAGAAATATTCCACTAATATTGGCATTTTTTGGTACTTTAAAAGTCAATTTACCTACGTTGAATCATGAAATATGATGGAAACGGTTTTTTGTTTTCAGGTTTTATTGATATATTGAAGAAATATTTTATTTTGTTTGTGCCAAAGCGTTTAGATCTTGGAACACCCTGTATCTGGAACATAATTGTCACCAAAAAGGTGTAAATGAGTAAAATATAAATGAATGAATAGTACAGTCAAACTAATAATGTTCAAAACCCACTTAGAATATGATAATGAAATAATAAATAAAAATAACAGAATGAGTAGTTGTAT